TGCGAGGACGAGGTGAAGAAGCTATGGGCCATCAACTTCGCCGTCATGAAGAAGACGTCTGTGCTGAAAGAGGCTATGGATTTCATTTCTACGTACAGAGATATACTGATGGAGTCCCTTGACAAGTGGGACTTCAAAGGGAAGCTGTCCTTCATCTACGACGCTGGTCAAAATACAGAGCACGAGAACCTGATGCGGCTCTTCGAGAAGCACTTGGCCGCGGCCCCGACCACTGAGCGTGTTGTGGAGTACCTTCGCGCCAACAGGTCCAAGGTGAAGTGGTTGAACGATGAGGCCGCGGCTGAGCTCTCAGAGTTGATCGATATCCACGCGGTGTCCACCGAGACCAATGCCAGCCTGGCGGTCACGGTGTCGTCCCTTCTTTTAGCCAATTGCATTTGTGCCGCCCCGAAGGCTTCCCGCCAGAAATCTTTAGAATTGTGTGTGCAGGCAGTGTCCAAGCGCTATGGCGCGAAGCTCAAGGACCTGCCTGCCAGCCTGCAGAAACGTGTTTCAATGGCCCTCGAGGGGTCAGAGCTCGGCAATATCAAGATGATGAAAGACTTGAGTCCGAGGAGTCTCGAGTCAACTGCTGTGCCCGCCGTTTCGGTTTCAAGCGCCTCCTCGTCGGCAGGCGCAGGCGGCGCGGGGGGGGGCGGCCTTCTCAAGAAGAAGGCCATTAAGAAGTAGATGCATGCCCCCCCCCGTCGCCAGAGTCAGAGCACAGCTTCAGTGCACGCGGCCTGTCAGAGCCTGGCTGGCCCCCCCCCCGCCAAGTCTGCGATGAACGAGGAACGAGGCAACTGAAGGAGTACGGGTGTGGGATGAAGGAGGGAGGAGGTTCGGCCTTGAGTTTGAAGATTATCGGAAAGGCATGGCCATCCATGCCAGCGAGTCGGGTTTGCCCGACGACGGGTGCAGCACTCACGCAGGGATCGATGAGTGCTGCGTTGGATCACATCTAGAAAACGAGGCGCCTCACTCGAGTACAAATGCAAACAAAATTAAACAAACGGGTCGAGTCAGAGAGTGTTATCATCATAGTCGTAACCATGCCCACTGAGATGAAGGCGATGGTGACTGCGATGAGGGTAGCATCAGCGCCACCCTCATCGTAGTCACCATCGCCCTATGTTGAAATAGGGTCGCCCTCGGCGCCGTCGCCGTCGGAGTCCACGGGAGGAGGAGGAGGAGGAGGAGGAGGAACAGGAGGAGGAGGAGGAGGAGGAGGAGGAGGAAGAGGAGAAGAGGAGGAGGACGGCGTCGTGGTCCTCGTCGTCGTCGTCGTCCCCCGCCCTCGTCGTCGCCGCGGGCCGCCCGCCCCGCCGCCGACGGGGTCAAGTTCGAGGCGCTGGACGCGCGCCCCCGCGGGGAGGGGGTGGTGGAGGGCAGGGTGGGGAGTCCGACAGCGGGAGGGAGAGCGGCAGACGTGGAGGAGAGAACGGGAGAGACACACCAACGACATCGCCAGGAACCGAAGAGGGGGGGGGCATGAAGGGCGTGGGAGGTGAAGGAGGAGGGCAGAGGGGAGTGGGGGGAAAGAAGGGCGAGGAGGTGGCGGAAGGAGGGCGCGGAGGACGAGGAGACGAGAAAGAAACGGCGGGGGTGAAGGAAAGGGGGAACGGACCAGTGGGAGGAAGGACGGACTGAGAGACGAGACCGAGGAGCTGGGAAGTGCTTCGGCTCAACGGCCGAAGCATTTCCTAGCTCCTGGTTTGCCCCTGGTTTGATTATGATTGCCCCTGGTTTTGTTTTGATTTTAGAAATCCTTACCCAAGGGCTTATTGAATATACAAGGTTTGCCCTGGGTAAAGGCCCTACCCAGGGCCCTGCAAGCACCCTGCAAGCACCGCCCTATGCACCTGCACTCTAATGCAGGAGCCCGCCATACAACTTTCGCCCGACCCGACCTTACCCCGCGTTGCGCGTGGCCAGCCAACGTTTGCCCCGGTGGCGTTCGGGCCTCCAGCAGCCGTGCGGGGTGTTCCGAGCATTCCCAGAAAGCTCTCGAGTCGGGGGCCCCCGAACGGTGTGGTGACCACACCGTGCGGTGAGTCGGTGGGGATTCGGGGTCACCGCACGGTTTTGGGACTCGAGTCCTTCTCCGAGGATGTCTCGGGTGACAGGGGCCTCCAGGGTCCCAAGACCGTGCGGTGACGGACCGTGCGGTGAGGTCTTGGGGGGTTTCGAGGTCACCGCACGGTCTGTCACCGCACCGTTTCGGGACTCCAAATCGAGGAGGCGCAGCCGATGGGACTCTCCCAGGGTATCGACAACTAGACCTATTGGTCAACCCCCGAACACCGTACGTAGTTGCCCCCTTTTGGCCTATCCCACCTTGTTCAGGCGATCGCATACATGGATCAAGGGGGCGTGAATTAGCAACGGGTCCCGCTTCCATAGGGCATCGCGCTCTCCGACGCCGAACGAGGCGGCACCTTCCGCATGGTGGGGAGGGCATCTCCCCCGATCCCTTGCTTTGGCGACCGCGCGCCAAATCCATGGATCGCTAATCCATGTTTGTGTGCCCTCGAATTGTGCGCGCCGCCAATTCTGAGTGCCAGCCGACGATGAGAGGAGCACCTCCCAGTCGCCCCGTCGATCTCAAACGGGCGCGCGCGGCGACGCGCGCCCTCCTGCGGCGGCAGGAGGAGGAGGGCGAGAGGGAGGAGGAGAAACTACGGCCCTTGCTCCTCTTCCCCAGCTTCTCTTCCTCCGCCTCCTCCTCCTCCTCCTCCTCCTCCTCCTCCTCCTCCTCCTCCTCCTCCCCCTCCTACTCTAACTCCCACTTCCTCCTCCTCCGTACCTCCCCCGCCTCCTCCTCCTCCTCCCTCCCCCCCCTTCCTCCTCCTCCTCCTCCTCCTTCTCCTCCTCCTCCTCCTCCGCCTCCGCCCTCCTCCCCCTCCTCTTTTTTCCGATCCTAGGGTACGTTCGTGCGGCGTTGGCGCGCCGTCGACGCCGGCGAAGGTGTTCTAGGTTGAGTTCTGCGACTTGGAAGTGCCGATGGACACCCCGATTGAAGTCAACCTTGAGCGAGCGGGGCCTCGATCGATTCAAGGCTGAACGATTGACCGGGTGTCAAAATCTTTGCGCGCGCGGACGCCGCACAAACCTACCATAGGTGTGGTCGCGCCACAGCTGACATCCTATGTCCTATCCCTCCCTCCCAGTCCTTCCCACTGCGCTGATGTGTTCTCTATCCGTGCACGCGTTTCACCGCGGACCTGGAACTCCCCACTGGACTCCATGTTGGTATGCGCAATCGGGAACGGGGAGTTGTGCACGTAGGAGGAGGATGCGGCGGTGAGCAGGAGGATGAGCAAGAGGAAAAAGAGAGGGAAACGCAGGATGTGGACGGAGGGAGGAGGATGAGGACGAACAGCAGCAGCAGCAGCAGCAGCAGCAGCAGCAGGCATTGGAGTGGAATGAGCGGGAGGAGCAGGAGGACCAGGGGAAGGCGGAAGGTGGGAAATGAGGGGGTCGACAACGGTGAGAACGGATTCGGATCCAAACAAGTGGCCCGCGCCGGGGCGAACGCGCCATCCTGAACGACGGGAGCAAATCCCCGGTCCAAAAATGGGGCCCACGCAACAGCAGGAGCACCATTTTTGAAGCACCGGAAACACCCGGATTGAAGGACAACGCCAGTACGTGGAGAGAAACGGCCATCGTCCGGACGGAGCCAGGGGGGAGGAGAGTAGCATTCAGCATGTGAAATCGTAAAGAGAGCGTGGGCAGGGGAGGAGAGAGGAGGAGCGTGGAGGAAGAGATTGAATAGGGGGAGGAAGTGGATGATGATGAGGAGGAGGAGGGGAGTGGGTGAGCAAAGGAACGAGGAGGACGAGGAGGACGAGGAGGAGGGGGGAGTTCGGCGGAGGGGGAGAGGAAGCTTCGGATCGGATCGGCTATCCACAGAAGCAAGGTACACGACCCTCACAGCCAGAGGTGGGGGCAGCACTACAGATGTAGCACCACAGCCCGGGGAGGGGCAGGAGGACGAAGGAGGAGAAGGAGGAGGAAGAGGGCCAGGAGAAGGAGGAGGAGGGAGGCACACGAGACCGCGGAGAAGTGAGGAGGAGCGAGGAGGAGGAGAGGAGGAGGAGGAGGAGGAGGAGGAGGAGGAGGAGGAGGAGGAGGAGCAGGGAGGAGGAGGACGAGGAGGAGGAGGAGGAGGAGGAGGAGGAGGAGCAGTGTAAACCCAAGGGGCATCAACGATGTTGGAATAAACCCTCCCTCCAAGCTCTCTCTCTTCATAGGCCACTGGTTTATTCTTACTGAGGGAACTGCCTCGTTGGAAGACAATTTGTTTGAAGACCCTGAAGCATGCCAAAACATTGTTCTCGGGATTCCATCGGCACGGATCATCTTGATTGTTGCGTCTTGACACTCCTGACTCGCGCCAGAAAGCCATTCCTGGGACTTCACCGCGAATTGATATAATTTGTGCACCCCCATAAGCCTGACTCCTTCCAAAACATCACTTCTGGTACGCTGATCATGGGAATCCGCGAAACTCTTGCGAAGTTTAAGACGAATGTGCGCGGCGCTAGGGCGAGAGCCACATTTTGAAAAGGAACCGCCCTCAATCCGCCAAACTCTTGCAAATGTGTGAGACGAATGTGCGCGGCGCCAAGGCGAGAGCCACATTTTCAAAACGACTCGCCCTCAATCCGTGAACCCTTTGCAGTTTTTTGAGACGAATGTGCGCGGCGCTAAGGCGAGAGCCACATTTTGAAAACGACCCACCCTCCATCTGTGAAACTGTTGCCAATCTTGTAGCTCCAGAGTCATAAGTGATGAGGAAGTCTCAGGCGAAACGCCCGGCCCGCCCGCGACAGGGAGAAATCATTTAGCAGAAGGACTGGAGGAGGGAGGAGAAGGAGGAGGAGAAGGAGGAAGAGGAGGAGGAGGATGAAGAGGAGGAAGGCGCCCGCCCCGAAGGGCGCCGGCCCCGAGGAGGCGCGCGCGCGCGGAGAGCGGCCGGCGCGCCCCGCGCGCAGGACCACAGGAGGCGCGAGGAGGAGCTGCAGCGGCGGCGCGACGAGAAGCGCCGCCGGGAGGAGGAGGAGCGCAAGAAGGCGGGAGACGATCGTCGAGAGCTCGAGATGACGGGGACGCGTAAGTCTCGAGTACGCCGGAACTCGGGTTTGCCGTCGCCTTCTGAGGAGCGCGCCCTGGATTCTGACGGTCCAGTCTTAGTGGGGCGTTCACAGCGGGAGCTCGCGTCAAAGTTCAGAGTGCGCCTCGTCATTTGCACGATGGCCCCGTCAGGCCAACCCGAGTCCCCCGAACCAGAGTCTTCCGTCTCCCCTAGTTCGGGGGAGCGTAAGACCCGGGTTTGCCAGGACTCGGGTTCGCCATCGTTTTTTGACGACCGCGCCTCGGATTTTGACGAGGAGGAGTTTCGTGGGATGTCTGCAGCGGGAGGCCTCGTCAAAATGCAGGCTCGGCCTCGTCATTTTTTTGACGACCTCGTCGGGGATTTCCGAGTCCCCCGTACCCGGGTCTTACGTCTCCCCGATCTTCCGTCTCCCCTAGTCTCACGCCTCCCCGAGCGCAGAGAGGTCGGCGTCATCAGCCATCCACTGCAGTCAAGGCTCTGGGCTCCGGAGGGGCTCTGGTCTTCGGGCCGTTCCTCAAATCTGGGTCGGGGAACCGTCGGTAGGTTTGCGTCGTGTCGACCAGCGGCGACCCCAGCGCGGGCGTTCAAGGTTGAACGCCGCCGGCGACCCAGAATCGATCGATGTTGAACGATCGGACGTTGCGGCAGCGGCCGATCGTTCAAGGTTGAACGATCCCTGCGGAATCAAAAACCAACGCTGGGGTCGGCACGACACGAACCTGCCGTAGTCTCGGGGGTGGACAGAACCCCCCACGTTGACATGTCGATTCGTGAATTGTCCGTTTTCGGTTCTCGAGAGGGCGCCGCGGCCGTCATTTTCCAGACTTGCGCCCGCCAGGTTTGGGCCTCAGGTCGTTTTCACTAAACCACGTTTTACAAAAGGGGGGTCTGTCCATCCCCGATAGTCGTGGCCGAGGCTCACTGTGGTCAGGAAAGCCCCTTCGTTCCTGATTTGGCGCGCCCTATGTCAGGGGCAGCGATAGGGGGGGATAGGCATAGGGGGGGAGGAATGCATCGATCCCCAATCGCCCATTGATCGCCGATAGGGACCCGCTAGCCCCATCCCGCCCAGGAAGGTGCGGATTCGCGATCGGGAGCCTATCGCCGAGCTATCGTCGATGTACCGCCAATTCCATGTCGATGCATCCCCCCTTATGCCTATCCCTCCCTATTGTTGCCCCTCACTATGGCTGCGCGTCGACAGTACTTTACGTTTTATCGGCCGGCGAGTCCTGGAGCGACCGCTCTGGGAGTCGCCAGGCTCTTACTTTGATCAAGCCCCCCAGGGCCGACCGGCCTGGGGGGGGGGATGGCTTCGTCACGATGATTTTCTCGCCATCAGTGGGTCAGTGGGTCAGCGCATGAAGGCGGGAGACGATCGTCGAGAGCTCGAAATACGATCAACCCGCATAATGAGAATGAGCGACGTTCCAAAGTTACCCTTGCATCCTCCCATTTTGAGACGGGGGTCACTGCTAACTGGGGTCAGCCAGGCCGCCGGATCTAGCAGGATCTTGCAGGGCTATGCGTTGACCCGGGCTAGCGTTCAGGATCCTGCTGGAGGCTATGCGTTGACCCGGGCTAGCGTTCAGGATCCCGAAGGATCTTGCAGGATCCCGCAAAGCCCGACTGACCCCCTGGGCTTGCATTGACCTGGATCAGTAGATCCCCGACAACCCGAATAGTTGCCCTTTCGGTCCATCCTTGGCCACTTTCGCAGGGCGCGCCCCTCTCGCAAAGTGGGTCAGCGCAAGAAGGCGGGAGACGATCGGCGAGGGCTCGAAATAGTTGTTCGGGTCTGCATATCCGTGCGGGTCCCCCGTCCAGGGGCCCCCCCCTGTGCCGTGTCGGGGGCCTCTTGAGTCGTCTTGGAGGCTCCCTTGGGGCTGTCTTTCGGCGGCGAGCGCAAGAAGGCGTGGCACGAGCTTCGAGGGCTCGAAGCACAGTCGACCCGCATAGCAAGAATGAACGACGTTCCAACGTTGCCTTTTCATCCTTCCCCTTCAGCCCATCCTCGGCCGCTTTCGCTGGCCGCGCCCCGCTCGCAAGTTTCTGACAGGGCCTGCCAAGGCCCTTGCATCCTTCTCGTGCGTTCTTACCAGACGGGTTGACCATGGCGGTCGCGCTCCAGCGGCTTGGTTTGCCTCCAAAGTACATCATATTAGTTCAACACATCTACGCCGAGTAGAGGCTCAGCGTTCTCGACGCCAGCCAAATGTCCAGCCAGCGCCCGCAGATGTCCGGCATATCGCGGGGTTGTCCTTTGTCTCCCTGCCTCTTTGCGATGCGCATGACAGTTGCCATCCATGACGCGGCGAGCTCGCTGTCGCCAGCCGCCGCGAAAGCATTTAAAGCAGGAGGTCTGGACATTCTACTCTACGCGGACGACGCGCTGATCACTGGCGCACAACAGCAGTACGTTCAAGAGCTACTCGAAGCAGTTGCACGCGCGGGTGCTGGATATGGTATGGAGCTGCACCGGTCGACATTTCAAGTGATTGGCGCGCGCAAAGAGTACTCGCTGCGGACACTTGGCGGCGAGAGTATTCAAATGGCCGAGCTCATGAAATACCTGGGAGCCAACAGCCACGCCGACGGGCGCACGAAACATGAGCTCGCCAGAAAGATAGGGCACGCGTGGAGTGACTTTTCTGCTTGATCATTGCTTTGGAAGCGGGCGACATTATCAACCTCTCGAAAGTTGCACGCGTTCCATTCTGCCATCATCAGCAGGTTGCTGTCTAGTCTGAATTCGGCCTGGCTGAACGTCGCAGAGACGAGACGCTTGGATGGATGTTATTGTCTTTGTTTGCGGAGTACTCTGAATATCCAGCCGTCATGCATTCGCCAGGTGTCGAGCGAGACTGGTTTACGGAGGGCGTCATGTCAACCGCTGCATCGGCAACTTCTTCGTGGCCAATTGCTTCTGTATGGGAGGGTGGCGAGATCACCAGAGACGGACCCCATGAAACCCTTCGCATTTAAGACCAGCAGTGCAGCGATATGTCCGCGCGGCGGGAAGGCCCGGAACGAATGGACAACGGTGCTGCAGAAAGAGGCCTCCCGGATTCGACACTTGCCTTGGCGCGCGCAACAAATGTGATGGGTCATTTTCCGTTGGTAGGCATTGCATGCGTCCATGCGCCTCGGCGTAAGACTGAGGTTTCTCTCTATCTCTCTCTATCTCTCTCTCTCTCTCTCTCCCTCTCTCTCTGTCTCTCTCTCTCTCTCTCTCTTTTCTCTCTCTCTCTCTCTCTCTCTATATATATACATATTTCTCTGTCTGACTTTTTTTTTTTTTTTCTCTCTCTCTCTCTCTCTCCCCCCCCCCTTTCTGGGCACCCTTTATTAACTACTTTACATATTCGTTACCAACCGGTGATTTTCTAGGCCTCCCAGATGGGGTCGGAGTAGATGCGATCGGTGGATCGCGCCGCATCGCCGATGCATCGACGATGCGGCTCGATGTGGAGCCCGATTTTGTCCACGCCGACGTCGCCGATGCATCGCCCACGTCGACGATGCATCGCCCGTGCATCGCCGATGCATCGCCGATGTATCGCCGATGCGGCACGATCCTCCGACCCCATCTACTCGGACCCCATCTATGAGGCCTCTAGATTTCTGGAACGACCCTTCCGGGGGACGCCAGGTTCTTAGTTTGTTCAACCCCCGTCAGATCCGACCGGCCCTGCGCCGCGATGAGTTTATCGCCATCGGTGGGTCAGCGGGTCAGCGCGAAAAGGCGGGGGGCGATCAGCGAGAGCTCGAAATATCGGGTCGGGCTATTCGCGCGGATCCCCCGTCGGGGTCCGGTCTGGGTCTTGGCGGCCTTTCGGGCCGTCACGGAGGCTGCATTGGGGCCGTCTTGGAGGAACGCAAAAAGGCTACGATCGTCGAGTAAGAGAGAGAGAGAGAGAGAGAGAGAAAGTGAGAGAAACAGACAGACAGAGACAGAGAGAAAGGAGTAAGAAAACAAACAAACTAACTAATAGAGAGAGAGAGAGAGAAAACACAATCATATATCTATATATATACATATATATACATATATATATATATATATACATATATACATATATACACATATATAACACAACCGAGCTGGCGGCAATGGGCGGCCTAAATCGGGCGCAGAGACAATGCCTCAAAGAGAAACGTCAGGGCCCCTTCGGGGCCCCTGCTGGCTCCCAAAGGGGGGCCCTGTAAGGCTCCGTTGGCGGCCTGCTCTTCCGACCCCCATGCAGGTCACCCCCCAGGGCCACCCGCCCGATACAGAAAGAGAGAGAGAGAGGGAGATAGAGAACAACAAAAGAGAAACAGAGAAATATAAAATGATATAGCGAGAGGGAGAGAGAAACATATTGAGAGGGAGAGAAAGAGAGAGAGAGAGAGAGAGAGAAGGGGAGAAACAACAAGAGAAACATATAAAAACAAACCCGCGCGCGTCAAAGGTTGGCGCGACGGAGAAACAAGCCGCCGCGGAATGGTTTCGCTGCGAGCCAGGGTGGATCAGGAAGAAACGCGCGTTTTACGTTCAGGGTCCCGTCGGCCCCTCTTCATTTTCGTATTCCCCCTTCGGCCCCCCTGTCGCGGCCGCGGCGCGGGGCTGCGAACGGCGCCCCCGCCTCCCGCGAGAGGCCCCGCCGCGGCGGAAGAGGAATGTCACGCGGAGACGAGGAGGGGGGACGGGGCATGGGGCACGAGGCGGGCGCGACGGCGAGGGCGGCCTGGCAGGGGAGTGGGGGGGGGGGAGGGGGGGGGCGGAGTGGGCGGGTGTTTCTGTAATGGTCCTGTTGGTGATCATGGTCGTGGTCGCGTTTGTCGCCTTGGTCGGTCTGGCGGTGGTCGCGCTGCCGGTGGTGGGCGGGCTGGTGGTGGTCGCGTCGGTGATCGTGGTGGTGTCGGTCGTTGTGGTGGTCGCGAGAAGCGTGGGTCGTGGTGGTGGTGGCGGTAAATGGTGGCGGTCGTATATTATAATCGTCGTGGTGGACGCGGTTGCGGTCGCGGCGGTGTGTGGTGATCGTGGCGGTGGTAGTCCTGGCGCTGGCGGCGGTCGGGGCGGCTGCGGCGGCGGCTGCGGGGACCTGCTGGCCTAGCGCCGGAGTGCGCTCAGCAGCATCGCGGAATTTGCAATGTCAGGGGGGTTCGCTGATGTGCCGAGGTAGCCCAGCGGCCGCCTTCTCGCCGGGGGGGCCGCTGCGCGGGCGATTTTCTTATTCCCGAAGGCGTCCGGCCTTCTCGGCGGCCGCGGAGCGGGCGACGCGCGTGCGATCCGCCCCGCGGGTGCCCGCCGCGCTGGCGACGCACTCGCCCAATTGCCTCTTGCGAGGGCGACGCGCACGTTCGCGAGGACGGCCGGCCTTTTCGGCGGCCGACGCACGGGCGGCGCACGGGCGACGAATGCGCGTCTCACCCCTTGTCGCGAAGGGGAGGGTCAGCGCGCTGGTCGTAGTAGTGGGCCTTGAGACCTCAGCATCAGATTCTGGATCGGACCTTCCGGGCCATCCCGAGGGGGCCCATCCGGCGCGCCGAATGGACTCCGTCGAACGCGCGGCGTGGGAGGTCCCCATAACCAAAAAAACATATGGAGTCCATCCAGCGCCGGATGGACTCGGTCCGGCGACAAAGGAGTCCATCCGGCGCAAAGAGAACCCATCCGGCGAACCGACAGAGTCCATCCGGCAGCGTTACGTTGGAGTCCATCCGGCGTCAAGTTAGATTCCATCTGGCGGCATCAGAGCCCATCTGGCTGGCAAAATGACCATCATGGCATCCGAGTCCATTCTTGCACGCCCCCTCGACCCCGCGCCCCCATGCCCACCACAAGTCCTCACGACCCCGCGACCCCACCACCCACCACATCACCGCCGTGTCACCCTTCCGCCCCGCGAGCCCGCGACCTCACGCCACTGCCCCGAGACCCCGCAACCCCGCGCTTCCGCCGCCCCGCCACGCCGCCACCTCAGCTGATCCTCGGGATCCTTCTCCTTCGGAAACTCTTTGGGATCATTGAGGACCCTCGGGGTCCTTAGCGGGACCCTTAAGGGAACGTTGGGAATCCGCGGGGACGTTCCGCTGTTTGATTTTTTTTTGATATTTAGCGCGCCCCCCAGGAACACCGCAAAGATTTAGGGGTCCTTAGCGGTCCCAAGGGAAATCCGAGGGATCCTTGGGGATCCTCAGCGGATCCTTAGGGAAACCTGGGATCTTTTAGTGGATCCCCCCAAGGACCTTTCGGGATTCTGAGCGGCACCCTCGACAAACCCCGAAGACCCTTGGGGACCGTTCGCGGACTCCAATAGGGAAGCCCTAGGAATCCTTACGACCTGGGCGGCTTCCTTAGAAAACCTTCGGGGTCTTCGGGGAACCTTGAGAGGCCCCCAAGGGGAACCTTATGAATCCTTGGGAATCCGAGGCGGATTCCCACGGAAACTTTTTTGGAATCTCTGGAGGTCTTCAGCGGATTCCAGGGGAACGAGGGATGGGGGTGATCCCCAGGGAGGCCCGAGGGATCCTTGGGACTCCTTCGCGGATCCTTAGGGAAATACGCGGATTCATTCCATGTTTCTTTGGGAACCCCCCACCGAGCACCTTCATGAATCACGGCTTCATTGCTTAGCAATGGCATGCCAAAGCAACAACAAGGAAACACACATGACAGTCAGAGCGCACTGGGAGATTTGAAGGAATGCGCGGGAACGCCGAGCGCCAAGTGCGCCCGAGAGGCGCCAGCATAAGTATGTTTTTGTTGGGTTCGAGTGAGGGCATCCAAAACATAATATATACGTGTAGACCTGATTTCGGATTTCAAAGAGTCCATTCGGCGAAGCCTTCTCACAGAGCCCGCCCGGCGGAGTTAGAGCCCATCCAGCGGGATAGAGCCCATCCAGCTGGAAGAGAGCCCATCCGGCTGACACTAGAGCTCATCCGGGGCGCCGAATGGTTCTTTTTTTCAAAAATTCCATTTGGCGAGGAAATAACGGTCATCCGGCAAAGGGAGTCCATCCGGCGACGCGGCTTACTATTTGCAATGCTTTCTACACGTTTAGCTCACGCAGATTAGAGCCCATCGATGCAGCGTTTGCGCGGAGATTCGCCGAATGCAATTCCATCCGGCGCCGAACGGACTCTTTTCGAAAGGGCTGGGTCCTTCCTCCTCATCTACCCCCAGCGCCAACTCAGCCAGATTCCGGATTCCAGATTCCAGATTGGACTTCTTTGACCAGACCCTCGAGATCACCTCTCGCGCGTGGGCGCCAGCCCGTTGATGGGTGTAGCAGTACGTCGAGCCTCGTGTGTGGAATCCCATGTGTTTGTATGTATGGGGGGGAGGCCACGAGGGTGTGGTACCCCATGTGCGAAGGACCCCTCGTATGGAACCATACGAGTGTGTCAGGTGTTCGATCATGGACCCTTGATCAAAGCAGCCATCCAGCTTCCGCGCCGAACACCGCCAGACACCTCCGAAGACCCGTCAGAAGATCGCCGACGACCGTCCGAAGACCGTCTGAAGACAGTCCGAAGACGCCCTCAGGCCGCCGAAAACGGCCCATGACCGATGGGCAACACGGGGTCCATGATTGGACTCGTAAGAGTGTGGAACCTGATGTGTGTGTGGCCCTGCGTGCGGCACGGAGCCACAGCGGCCCGAGATTGAAGTCGGGCCTGTCCCTCTACAGGAGGAGTACCCAAACGCAGTCTTTGAACAAAAAGATGGGGACGATTTGTTTTAACCATGTTTGACCTGTTTCGAATATTTTTGGGCCAGCGTTTTATATTTTTCCTTCACAATCCGCTTGTTGGGGGCATGACCGACCTAACCCGAGATGCCAGAGCCACGGCGGTGCAATCACCCACGGGCGAGGGCGCCACGCGGGGCCCCGCAGCGGTCCGAGCAGCCAGACAGGCCGTGCCGGTCCACGCACACAGCGGCCCGCCGTGCAGACTCCCAGACAGTTCACGTCTACTAGACGGCCCTGGGCGTTTGCGAAACAGTCTTGCCCTCTCCTCCTCCTCCTCCTCCTCCTCCTCCTCCTCCTCATTTTCCCTCTTCCTCCTCCTCCTCTTCCTCCTCCTCCTTCTTCTCCTTCTCCTCGTCGTCGTCGTCGTTCTCCTCCTCCTCCTCCTCCTTTCCCTCCTCCTCCTCCACTAAGCGGCGTTGATTCCCGGGTTATGATGTGGGTGATCTTTCTCTTGCTCATAACGGTTCCTTGCACCTTGCAACCCAAGCGGGAAACTTCAGTGCGAGGAGCGTTTGCGGAAGCACGGTTCATTCTCCACGCTTTCCTCGTCTTTTTCCCCCCTCCTCCCTCTATTCGCCTTCATCATCATACCCTCCCTCCTACGCTTCCGTGACGCTCCCGCTCCGCAAGAAACTCTCAGACCACCTCCATCGAACACCCTCTTGCTCCGTCCTGCCCCCCCCCGTAGGCAGACGAGTCAAAGCAGTCCGAGCGGGACGACAAGCGGAAGGTCCAGGATTCTGCTCGCAAGGAGGAGCTGGAGAGAAGACGAAAAGAGCAGGAGGCGCGGATCGAGGAGGAGAAGAAGAAGAGAGACGAGGAGGAAAAGGCTGCGGGCAATTCGTCTGTCCACAGCGACGCTGCAGCTGGAGCTTCGGGCTCCCTTGCCGAGCAACCCGAGGCGCACTGGATGTGGATAGGAATCTGGCCCCCGGAGGCCCGATTTTAACCCATACAGTGGAGACCCATGCCAAGAAACACACTGCTTGCCCCCAGGTTGCCCTTGATTTCTTGGGTTTCGATGGTTTTTGCTGTGGAGAGCGTTGCATTCCCGCACCGAAAATCTGTGGACGTCCCGGGGTCTCAGGGTTGGGATTGTTGTGGAAGGTCCCTTGTGGACTGGCTTCCACTGTAGAGGCGCGACTTTGGTCCATGTCATATCCGGTGCGCCTCGGCCTCGCGGCGCCCCTTCCAAGACAGTCCAAGACGCTCTGGATGTGGATATCATCCCAGCGATCCGATGCCGTGATTTCTTCGCTGAGGGGTCCCCCGAAGTCCCGACCCTGTCCCCAGATACTCTTTTTTCGTTCCGGGCCGTCTTGCGACGGTCCTGGGGCCCGGCGAAGGCCTTCAGAGGCCGAAGGAGACGCAAGGGCGCCCTCGAGGGCGCGAAGTTACTCGCGCTTCGCGGTTGGGCTCCGATTTCTCCTCATCCTCCCCTTCTCCTCTGGGAGGCGGCGCGAGAGTGCGAAGCTATTCGCACTTCGCGCTTCGCGCAGCGCGAAGCGCGAAGTTGGGAGCCCTTTGAGACGAGAAGCCTCGGTCGAGGCCTCCAGGGCTTCGAGGGCCTCCTGGGAGCACCGCCCGCGGCAAGGCCAGAGCAGAGGCGGAGGCCAAGAAGAAGGAGCAGGAGGCCAAGGTGCTTCGGCAGCAGCAGGCCCCGCTCTCTTGCTCCGGCGGCCGCTCTGCTCCTCTTTTCGGGTCGGGTGAAAGGGCGGGACAGCAAAGGGGGGGTTTGAGAATCAGCTCACGTAGCTGACTTTCCCGGCGCCGGAGGTGGCTATGTATCGAGCAATGGTCCCCTCGGTGAGGCCGAAACCAGCTGCACGCAGCAAATTTCGTGACCCCCCCTTTCCCAATCCCCCCCTTTCGTCCGGCCCGATCTTTCCGCACCTTGTCCGGACGGCCGCGCGGGCCGCGCTTGCATGGCGTCGGAGAAGAAAGAACGCCGTAAACATTTACTTTGGGCGCTCCTCGCGGGTTTCTCGGATCCGCGCTGGGGCCCCCCGGCGGTGCCAGGGCTCTCCCAGCGGTGCTTCCAGTGCCACCCCTGGCGCGGTCTGCGCGCCAGGGAGGGGGTCCAGCGCGGATCCAGGAAAGCCGTGCGGAGCGCCAAATTTTTGTGTGTATGCCGTTTTTTCTTTTCCTATGGTGGCAGGGGGCCAGCTGAAAATTTGAAGCACAGGAATCCAACGTATTTCGGACGGGTCTGGGGCGAGGATGCCATGTTTTGTGCGAGCTCGGCGTCGCAGAAGCCGTATTCTTAAGTCGGGCCTGTCCCTCTACAGGAGGAATATTCAAACTTAGCCAAAGAAATAGTCAGGGGATTATTTTTGTTGTATTTGTTTTGCCATGTTTGGGCATTAGTTTGACAATTTTTTATTTGTCGTCCAAAATTCCCCTGTAGGGGGACACGCCCGACTTAAATCTGGGGCGAGGATGCCATGTTCTGCGCGAGCTCGGCGTCGCAGAAGCCGTGTTCCCAGCATCGCCGCTGGCCTGCTATTGGCCTCTGCCCTGCAGCCGCCCCTCTCCCCTCTCCTCCTCCACGCTGCCTCCCTGCAGCCGCTCCTCGAGCGTCGGAGGAGGGAGGAGTAGGAGGGAGGAGGGAGGAGGGAGGAGTAGGAGGGAGGAGGAGGAGGAGGAGGAGGAGGAGGACCCGCTGGCTGCCCCTCTCCCCTATCCTCCGCCCCGCTGGGTTCAACCTGGGTTCTGCTTATCAGTCTGGGTTCTGATCTGTGTTTTCTTCTTTCTTTCCCTTGCTCTCTCTCCTTGTTTCCCTTGTTTCCCTTCTTTCTTGTCCCCCTTTCCCTTGTTTCCCTTGCTTTCCCTTGTTTGTTTCCCTTGCTTTCCCTCTTTCCCTTGTTCCCTTGTTTCCCTTGCTTTCCCTTGTTTGTTTCCCTTCTCTTCTTTTCCCCCACCTTCTGTCGAGGGACGGCTGGTGGTGGCGCTTCTGGGTCGTGCGGATCTCGGGAATCCGTCTTTAAGGGCGTGTCATCATCATCATCATCATCATCATCATCATCATCATCATCATCAGCAGCAGCAGCAGCATCATCATCATCATCATCAACATCATCATTATCATTATCATTATCATCATCATCATCATGATGATGATCATCATCATGATCATCATCATCATCATCATCATCATCATCATCATCATCATCATCATCATCCCCGCTGCCTCCCTGCAGCCGCCCCTCGAGCGTCCCGCTGGCTGCCCCTTCTCGGGCGGGGCCAGGACGAGGACAAATCCATTCCAGAGCTTAGGCTGCTCCTGTCGTACTTAAGGGCACATCTCAGAAGTAGTTTCGAGCCTCCAGAAAAGTACCGAAACAGTGTCGAGCGAATATCGCCTCCCAGGGCTCTACACGTGAACATCCTCCAGTTTCGGTACTTCTTTGGTGCTCGACATTCTTTCTAGTGATCAAGGCTAAAGTAAGCTGGAACATCATAATCCAGAGCGCTCCGGAACGCTCGCGGAACGTTCCGGAACGCTCTGAGAAGGCCGCGGCGCCTGAGACATCCATCCTCCAGAGCCGCCGGATTTCGGAGGTTTTCAGTATATTCCTCACCCGATGCTATCCTCGTCCTGGCTTCGTCTTAATATAGAAAAATTAAAACGGAGGTGTTTCGCCCTTTTCGACCTCTCGATGTCTTCGCCGGGCCCTAGGACCGTCCAAGGACGACCAGGAACGGAAAAAATTGGCCTTGAGGAAAGGGTCGGGATTTGCGGGCACCCCGCATTGACAAATTCACGACATCGGATGTCTGGGAAGGTTCAAGGTCGAGCTTCAGAAGGCTCGGGCCGGACGAAAGGGGGGGATTGGGAAAGGGGGGGTTACGAAATTTGCTGCATGCAGCTGGTTTCGGCCCCACCGTGGGGCCCATTCCTCGATACATAGCCGCCTCCGGCGCCGGGAGGCGCTGGGAAAATCAGCTACGTAAGTTTATTCTCAAACCCCCCCTTTGCTATCCCCCCCTTTGCGGAAACCCACCCACAACCCCAGTCCCGACCCGCCCGAACCGACTGGGGGTGGAATGGACCTGGAAGAACCACCCCACCACCCCCAGCCCCAGCCCCGTGGATTGCTGGTTCGGGGATGCGGTCGGGACTGGGGGTTGGTGTGAGCTTTTGCTGATCCAGATTTGAGAGGCGATCTGTCTGAGTTCTAGGGGCGCCTGGATGTTTCAAACCAGCACGTCCAGCCCCAGGCAGGGGGAAACGTGAACGTGACGTGTGACTTGTCTTTTGTGCCGAAGGCTCCGGCGGCGAACCACTCCCAACCCGTGCCCTTCGGAAACGTATATGTGGCCAAATGTTGAGCCGAAGTCTTGCTAGGCTGTTTTTTTGTATTATCTGTTCCCTCAGCCGTGGAGTTCTTCCACCTCTGTCCTGGTCATGGTGGAATTCCGCCCGCAGATTATGTGCACCCTCAGCCGCCACGGCCCGCTCATGGTGGAGTTCTTCCGCCTCTGAGCGCCTCCTCCTTCCCTTCCGCCCGCGGCCGTTTTGTCCTCCTTGCACGCTGGACAATTTGTTTAGTACTGGCCCTGCTTCGCTCTTTCGCTGCTGCGGATTGCCCCGCCTCGCCGCCGACGAAAGAGTTCCCTCAGCCGTTGCCGAAGCCCTTGGGGGAACATTTGGGGGAAGAAGAAAGAGAGAGAGAGAGAGAGAGAGTTGGAGACGAGGGAGGTGAAGGACCAGGTGGAAGAGGAGGTCTCCTAAGGGTCCTGGGAGATCTCCTGAGAGGCCACTGAGGACCTCTTTGGGGCATTATGAGGCCTCTTGGGGACTTCCTCCTCCTCCTCTTCCTCCTCCTCCTCCTCCTCCTGGGGGCTTCTGGCGGTCTCTAAGGAACTGCTTGGCCTTCGGAGGCTGTCTGGGAGGCCTCCGTAGGCGATCTTGGTGCCCTCCTTGAACGCTGTAAGGCCATCTTGGAGGTCTCTGGGGCAGTCTTGGGACCCTCTTGGGGCAGTCTTAGTCGCTGGGCCCTCTTAGCCCGTCTTGGGGTCCTTCTTGGTGGCTTCTGAGGCCGTCTGGGACTCATCGTGGAGTCTTGTTGGGCCGTCTTCAGCTGCCGAAAGGCCCGAAAGGCGATGACGAGAAAATCAGTCACAAGACATATGAAGTAAAAGCCGCCTGGAGGGCCTTTCTGAGCCATCTTGGAGCTTCTTGAGCCGCCTTGAGGCAGTCATGGACCGTCTTGAGCCGTCTTCGGTTCATCTCTGGCAGCCTCGGGTGCATGTTTGGGGACCAAAGAGGGGTGGAGTTTTGTTTCATCCGCTTTTGTTTCGTCCGCTTTTGTTTCGTCCGCTTTTGTGTCATACGCTCTTGTTTCATACGCTTTTGTTTCGTCCGTCTTTTGTTTCGGCCGCTTTCGTTCCATCCGCTTTTGTTTCGTCCCTTTTTGTTTCGTCCCCTTTGGTTCGTCCGCTTTTATTTCCTCCGTTTCGGTTTCGTCCGCTGAGTTTTGCGTGATTCGTGTGGAAGCTGGGGGGATGAACGCCGGATGATTTCAAACCGGACGAATTATAACCGGAGAAATTGAAACCGGACGAATTCAAACCGGATGAATTTGAACCGGACGAATTAAAACCGGATCAATTCAAACCGGACAAATTTAAACCGGATGAATTGAAACCGGATGAGGATGAATTCAACCGGGTGCATCAAAATTGGATAACTTGTAAGCAGACGAATTACAACCAGATGAATTCAAACCGGACACGTCAGAAGACATGGATTCAGATTTGGACAACCATGTTAGATACCTCTTGGATGGCCTGGACACGTAAAACCACACGGTGCCAGTTCGGGACAACCATGTTAGATACACCGTTGGGTGGCCTGGACACTTTGAAACCATGGTCTTTGCTCGGGGCAAACATGTTAGATACCCCCTTGAGTGGCCTGGACATGTGAAAACAGGTGGTGCCAGCTTGGGACAACCATGTTAGAAACACGCTAGATACAAACATGCGGTCCTTGCTCGGTACAATCATGTTAGAGACCCCCCTGGGTGGCCTGGACACATAAAAACACGTGGTTCCAGTTTGGGGCAATCATGTTAGATGCCCAATTGGGTGGCCTGGACACGTACAGACACGTGGTTCCAGCCTGGGACAACCATGTTAGATACCCCCCTGGGTGTCCTGGGACTTCGTGGGACCTCCTGGAGAGGGCCAATCTACAGAAACAGATGTAAAAACACACGGATTCGTGTCCCTGGAGACGGCCCATCTATCGGAACACATGAGAAACACACGGATTCGTGCCCCTTCCCAAAATGTGTCCCACATCTTGTGATTTATCGATCGGGATTTCGAACACCAGCGTTTCGCTAGGGACATCCTTAATTCTTCCACGCCGAATGGGATTTCACTTTGTTACTTCTAGCTAACAATTTCGCCGGCCGAGGCCGGGGGGAAACAAAACGATATTAAAGGAGTACCTTGGGCACGCGCCCTTTCCTGGAACATGATCGACCCACGAACCAGGAAAGGAATGTAGAAATGTAAGGCATGGCGACGCTTCAAATACACCATATTAGGCCACGGCAAAAGCAATGATGAGTCTATCGATTTTGATGTACCGTGCCGAGGGTTGTGCTATGCTGCGCCGTGCTGAATTGCGATGTGCCATGCCGCGATTATGCTCTATAGCGTTGTGGATCGAGTCCTCCTATGCATCCGAGTTCTGACCGAACTGATCTGGATCTTAAGCTCGAGCTGCCTGAGCACATAGTAGCTGCACCAGAGCTAATTGACAGGGGGACATGCAAGGAGGACGCGCCGCGGAACGTCCCATGGGACGCGCCAAGCGACGTGCCAGGGGGCGTGCCATTGGGACGCACCGCGGGACGTGCCAATGGGACGCGCTACGGAACGTGCCAATGTGCCAGGGGACGCGCCGCGCGACGTGCCAAGGGGATTCGCCACTGGACTCGCCACGGAACGTGCCAAGGAACGTACCAGCTTGCAATGCCGAGTGTATCGATCTTGATGTACCGTGCCGAGGGCTGTGCTGTGTTGCGCCGTGCTGCACTGCGATGTGCCATGCCGCGATTGTGTTCTATGGTAGTGTTGTGGATCGAGTCCTCCTATGCATCCGAGTCCTGACCGAACTGATTTGGATCTTAAGCTCGAGCTGCCTGAGCACATAGTAGCTGCCCCAGAGCGTTGTGGAACCCATGCGTGTTCACGCTTCCCCCGCCCTGGGGCGTTGGGAACCATATGTTTTCAAGCTTGCCCGCCCTGGGGCGTTAGGAACCCATGTGTTTTCACGAGCCTCCCGCCCTGGGGCATTCGGAACCCATGTGGTTTCACGTTTGTCTCGCTCTGGGGCGCTGGAACCCATGTGTTTTCGCGCCTCCCCCGCCCCACTATAGAGCGATTCTCGCCGGCACCGGCACCGGCACCGGCACCGGCACCGGCACCGGCACCGGCACCGGCACCGGCACCGGCACCGGCACCGGCACCGGCACCGGCACCGGCACCGGCACCGGCACCGGCACCGGCACCGGCACCGGCACCGGCACCGGCACCGGCACCGGCACCGGCACCGGCACCGGCACCGGCACCGGCACCGGGCACCGGCACCGGCACCGGCACCGGCACCGGCACCGGCACCGGCACCGGCACCGGCACCGGCACCGGCACCGGCACGGGCACCGGCACCGGCACCGGCGCCTGCGCCGGCGGCATTGGCACCGGCACCGGCACGGGCACCAGCGCCGTCGCCGTCGCCGGCGCCAGCACCAGCACTGGCACCCGCACCCGCAACCGCACCGGCACCAGCCCTGGCACCAGCACCGGCACCGGCACCGGCGCCGGCGCCAGCACTGGCACCGGATGAAAAACATCATTGACATTGAACATCATGACATTTCCCAAACAGTGCTTGCACTTAGGGGGCCTTCTCTCTTCTTTCCTAGTATTAGCTGGGTCGTCTGAGGGGCGGTCTGGCGGCTCTCTCCTCCTCGCCGTTGCCGCCCTGTCGCCGCCCGTCGTCGTCTGGGCTTGAGGGGCGGTCTGGTTTTTCCGTCCTTGCCGTCGCCCCCCCTTGCTGCGTCGTCGCCGCTCGTCGTCTTGGCCTGAGGGTCGGTCTGGCGGTTCCTTGCTCGTCTCCGTCACCGTCCCGTCGCCGCCTCCTCGTCGCTGCCCTGTGCGCCCCCCCAGCGGTTGCAATCCAATCGGTTGCAAGCCAATCAAGAGCAAACCCAGTGGAATCGATTGCAGTCCAATCAATGGTAAAATTATGCAAACGCAGATCCCCACATAAAAAATATTATCTGTTTCGTGGGACCCATGGGGTACGACAACATCAACACGAAAGAGAAGCTCATCGAACGAGTAAGTACGCACGAAAGGACAGACGAAAGAAAGGAGGAGGGAGGACAGGTGCTCAGGAAACGAAGCCTTGTAAATAGTACGGGTTGTTGATACCCTCTGCGCTCTGGCGGGGCCCCGCTGGAAGGGGGGAGGCCTACGAAACCTGGTAAAGAGTAATGCTGTCCGCGACCTTCCTCGTTCAAGCGAGTCCTCCTCCTCCTCGTCCTCCTCCTCCTCCTCGTCGTCCTGCTCCTCCTCGTCCTCCTCATCTTCGGCATCATCATCATCATCATCATTACCAGCACCATCGTCGTCATCATCAGCATCATCAGCAACATCGTCGTCACCCCGTCGTCGTCGTCATCATCAGCATCATCGTCATCAGCATCAACATCATCAACATCATCATCATCATCATCATCGTCAGCATCATCGGCATCATCATAACCATCATCATCATCCTCATCATCATCACCAGCATCATCATCATCGCCAGCGTCATCGTCATCATCATCGTCGTCGCCACCATCGTCATCATCATCATCAGCATCGTCATCATCATCACCATCACCGTCCTTGGCATCATCATCGTCCGCATCATCGTGGACTACATGATCACCAGCATCATCGTCGTCATCATCATCAACAGCACCAGCAACGTCAGCATCAGCAGCAGCATCGTCATCATCACCAGCATATGCATCATCATCTTCGTCGTCGTCGCCATCGTTGTCGTCATCGTCATCATCATCATCGTCATCATCATCAGCACCATCATCATAATCACAGTTATCGCCATCGTCATCGTCCATCACCATTATCGCCATCGTCATCGTCATCGTGAACAGCAGTATCACCACCGTCATCACCATCATCATGATGAAGCCTTCCTCATCGCAGAACTCCCCCTCCTCCTCCTCACCCTCCTCAGTGGGAGGAGTAGGACGTGAGATGGATAGGTAATGTTCTCCCCTCCTCCTCGCCCATGTCAGTGGGAGGGGCACGAAACCATTTAAATAGTATGGGTTTCCGATCTCCTCCTCGCTCAGACGGGGCCTCCCTGGAGAGGTGGCAGGGGCACGAAACCATGTAAATAGCATGGGTTTCCGATACCCTCCTCGCTCAGGCGGGGCCTCCCTGGAGGGGTGGGAGGGGCACGAAACTATGTAAATAGCATGGGTTTCCGATACCCTCCTCGCTCAGGCGGGGCGTCCTTGGAGAGGTGGGAAAGGCACGAAACCATGTAAATGGTATGGGTTTCCGATACCCTCCTCGTTCAGGCGGATGGAAAGGGCACGAAACCATGTAAATAGTATGGGTTTCCGATAACCTCCTCGCTCAGGCGGGGCCTGCCTGGAAGGGTGGGAGGAGCACGAAACCATGTAAATAGTATGGGTTTCCGATACCCTCCTTGCTCAGGCAGGGCCTCCATGGAGAAGTGGGATGGGCACGAAACCATGTAAATAGTACGGGTTCCCGAAACCCTCCTCGCTCAGGCGGGGCCTCCCTGGAGGGGAAGGAGGGACACGAAACCATGTAAATAGTATGGGTTTCCGATACCCTCCTCGCTCAGACGGGGCCTCCCTGGAGGGGTGGGAGGGGCACGAAACCATGTAAATAGTATGGGTTTCCGATACCCTCCTCGCTCAGTCAGGCGGGGCCTCCCTGCTGGAGGGGTGGGATACCCTCCTCGCTCAGGCGGGGCCTCCCTGGAGAGGTGGGAAGGGCACGAAACCATGTAAATAGTATGGGTTTCCGATACCCTCCTCGCTCAGGCGGGGCCTCCCTGGAGGGGCGGGAGGGGCACTGCTGGGAGGCGGGAGGCGGGAGGGAAAAGGAGAGGATGTTCTGGGAAAACAAGAACCCGCACCAGCACCAGCCACCGGCACCAGCACCGGCACCGGCACCGGCCCCGGCACTGGCACCAGCACCGGCTACCGGCCACTGGCACCGGCCACCAGCACCGGCACCGGCACCGGCACCGGCACCGGCACCGGCACCAGCACCGGCACCGGCACCTGCACCGGCACCGGCACCTGCACCGGCACCGGCACCGGCACCGGCACCAGCACCGGCACCGGCACCGGCACCGGCACCGGCACCGGCACCGGCACCGGCACCGGCACCGGCGCCGGCACCAGCACCGGCACCGGCACCGGCACCGGCACCGGCACCGGCACCGGCACCGGCACCGGCACCGGGGCAAGAATCGTTCATGCCTTCCCCGCCCAGGGACGTTAGGAGCCCATGTGTTTTCACGCTTGTCCCGCCCTAAAACGTCAGGATCCGATACGTGTTCACGCTTCTCGAGCCTCCTGGGGCCTCCTGGGGGCTGGAGGGAAGCGAAAAGCGCTCCCCGAGCACATATCCCAATACAGAACAGGAGGCCCATGTTGGATACCCCCTAGGTGGCCTGGACACGTTACAGCACCTGGTTCCGCCATGTCAGATATCCCCCTGGGCGGCCTGCCGGACACGTAAAACCACGTGGTTCCAATTCGGGACAATCATGTTAGATACCCCCTGGGTGGCCTGGACACGTGAAAACACGTGGGACCAGCTCTGGGCAGCCATGTTAGATACACCCCTGGGTGGCCTGAACACGTTAAAACACGTGGCCTTAGCTCGGGACAGCCATGTTAGATATCTTCTTTTTATGGCCTGGACACGTGAAACACTTGTTGCCTGTTCGGGACAACCATGTTAGATACCCAGGGGTAGCCTGGGCACGTCAAAACACGTGGTCCTTGTTCGGAACAATCATGTTAGATAATTCCCCCTCTGTGTGGCCTGTACACGTGAAAACACATGGTTCAAGTTCGGGACGACCAAATTCGATATCCCCCAGGGTGGCCTGGACACGTAAAAACACGTGGTTCCAGCTCGGGACAACCATGTTAGATACCCCCCTGGGTTCCAGCTCGGGGCAACCATGTTAGATATCCCCCTAGGTGGCCTGGGCATGTAAAAGCACGTGTTTCCAGCCCTGTGGCCTGGACACGTTAAAACTGTTTCGGGTAATCGGACCGGATATAAGGACGAAAAGACAGGGTATTGAGGGAAATGATGGGAGGGCGGGCAAATGCAGGGGACTGATTTGATCCCGCCTTGCAACCAAATCGCCATCGAAAGCTGCCAGGATGGAGTTGCGTCGAGGAAGTTGGACGATCCACAAGCGCAGCCTGCAAGGCGAATCGTCTATGCAGTGCCTGGCGGACAGATGCAGGGGGCGGGGTTGCGGATGGGGGTGATGGGAGGGGCCCCGCGTCGCGCGCGAGGCGACGCTGGCCGTGCTGAAGGTGCTGCAGAAAATCTCCAACGCCAAGCCAGACAACTTCGACGAACTGAGCGCCGAGTTGGACAAGGCGTTGGTCTCGGACCAGGGGCAACCATAGGGGGGCGGGCAAGCCGCCCATTCATCGCCTATAGAGGGTCCGGGGATGACCTGCCACGCCCAAGACCGTGCGGATTCGCCGCTGCAGGCCCATCGGCGATGTATCGTGGATTCAAGCTTCATGTTTCCCCCTTCTGAGCGGGTCCCCCCTCTGACGTGCCCAGACATCGCACAGAAGTGACAGCATGGGAAAGACAAAAATAGGTGAACCGTTCGCTTGCCCATCTCAAGACGAGGAAAAGACATGTGCATTGTCGCACCCTCTTGGATTTCCGCGGGGGGGTCCTGGTTCTGCGCAGGGTTCCCCCGGCAGAGCGCCTCCGGCGCCGCCATCGATGCCACGCGCCAGGGAGGGCGGTCAGACGCCGATCCAGGAAATCCGCGCGTGAAGCTCGTGCAACTTCTGTTTCGGTGTACTTGTCCCTCTACATGTTCGTTGTTCGCTTCTTTCGGAGCCGATCCAGGAATTCATCCACGTCGTCTGATCCAGAGCCGAGCCAGACCATCTCCGCAGTGTGTCGTTCAGCTTCTTTCAGAGCCGATCCAGGAATTCATCCACGTCGTCTGATCCAGAGCCGAGCCAGGCCATCTCCACGGTGTAGCTGTCCGCTCAGGGGCTCATAATCGTTCACCCAAAGAGGAGGAGGAGGAGGAGGAGGAGGGGGAGGAGGAGGAGGAGGAGAAGGAGGAGGAGGAGGCTTCCTCAGTGCCTTCTGATTTAGCACCCGGGTGCGCGGGGGAGCGCCGCCGGGTGTCGCAGGCCCCCGACGTCGTCGTCGCGGTCCAGACGGGCAATTTCAAGAGGGGAACAAACATACAGACACAATTGATTGTCGATTCTCCAGAAAATATGGGAAAATACGGGAAGTGGAGGGGGAAGACAGAAACCCCGAAAATATGGGAAAATATTGGGAATCCTTTTATTTGTGTATTTATTTGTCTGTCCCAGGGCCTCTTCACATTTCTTGACGGGCAATGCTCGACGACGACGTGTTTTTCATGGCGGCAGCGACGTGGGAAGTGAGGGTAACAATGGCGGCAACCGCGGGGTCGGCCCTGACGATGCTGGCAATGAAGAATGACCAGGTGGCGAGGCGGGAATGTATACATCACCACCGCCTGGAGGATCGCTGTTTGCTGACTTCCACAGGCGGTGGATCTGAATCCATGTTGGCCCCTGGGGGGCCGAACTATCTCCATGTCCACCGACCGCTGGGTCCCCATGACGTCGGTTCCCAGGCGGCGGATATGGATACAGTCAGCGCGACTAGTAAGGGCGCGTACCTTCATCTAGCTACCATTGAGTCCATGCATCTGCGGCCCATCCCTTGAATTTTTCACTGGTCGCCCGTCGCCCAACAAATCCCAACCTCGGCCCCCAAGGATCTTGCGTCCCTACCACCCGTCCTTACTGCACGTTTCGTCTGTAAGTTCCTTCCTCGCAGAGGTCCTGGCAGCAACGACGCGGACCTCCACAGGCGGTGGATCTGGATACGTCTTGGCCCCCGGGGGCCGACCTATCTCCATATCCACCGCCCGCTGGGTCCCCAGGACGTCGGCTCCCAGGCGGTGTATACGGATCAATCCCCTTCCTCGCAGGAGGTCCCGGTGGCAACGACGATGGCATCGATCGCACAGAAGCTCGGGGGCGGCCAATAGGGGGATGTTGACTAGGGGGGGGATATCATGGCGTGGGCCATGATATTTCCCGAGATTTCATGGCGCCTCTCCTCCTTCCATCGTGTCCCTGGGTCCCCCCCCCTGGGCCGCGGACGTGCCGCTGGCCATGAGTCGCGCCGCCCCCCTTCTTGGACGCCCCCCTCCTTGGCCGCGCCCGAGACGCGGAGAGCTGGCGGCCGCCATCGGTGCACGATGGCGGGGGCCGCGGCCGGGCGAGCCGGCCCCCGCATGGTGATTCCACGGCTCCGCGCGGGCTCCTGGCGGGCGGGGGGCCGCGGGCTCCTGGGCGCGGGGCGGTGGGCGACGGAGGCCTCCTCAGGAGGCCGCTGGCCTTTTCCCGCGCCTCGGGCGCGGGGGTGGGTCGCGTCGGCATCGATCGGCGCGCTCCTGCTTCGCTAGCATCTCATGTCATGCCATCTCATCTCATCTCATCTCATCTCATCTCATCGCATCTCATCTCATCTCATCTCATCTCTCCTCCTCCTCCTCCTCCTCCTCCTCCCCCTTCTCCTTTTCTTTCTCCTCCTCCTTCTCCTCCTCCTTGGGGGAGGAGGGGACAAGCCTCGTCGTCTTCCAGGGTACGGGAGGTCGTCGGCCTGCGGTCCTGTGTGGGCTGGGTTGATACGTCCGGTTTGGTTCATGTCGCTTCGGTTCGGAGGGCCAACTGGTTCTGGCTCGGTTCCGGTTCTGGTTCGGTTCGGTTCCCCCCCGTTCGGTTCTGAATAAAGTCGGTCCGGCTCTTTTTTTTTGTTTTTGTTTTTGTTATTATTCTTCTTCTTCTTTTTTTTCTTCTTCTTCTTTTTTGGTCCGGTTCGTTATCGTTATCGGTTATCGGTTCGGTTTGGTGTTTTCATGAGGAGGGAAGCAGAAAGCAGGGTTGTATTAGTGGAAACTGGCAGGTGCAAGTGGGACGGCGAGGTCCCCGCGAGGGGGCCGGCGGACTTTCATTATCCTCATGACTAGTACCACTCCTCGTCCTCCTCGTCATCGTCGTCTTCGTCAAGGGCTCCCTCGAGGGCGCGAAGTTATTCGCGCTTCGCGCTTCGCGGTCCTCGTTCTTTCTCCTCCTCCTCCTCGTCCTCCTTTTCTCCCTTTGGGGGGGCGGCGCGAGAGCGCGAAGTTATTCGCGCTTCGCGCTTCGCGGAGCGCGAAGCGCGAAGTTGGGAGCCCTTGCTTCGTCATCTTGGTCGCAGTCGGAGTCGCTGCCACCGCCGCGGGCTCCGCAGCCGAAGCGCAGGTGCTGAAGGACGACCTGCCCGACACCGGCGCGCAGCAGGCGGCGCCTACCCCCGCCTCCGCGGGAGCCCCCTCGGAGGGAGGTGGTGTTTGGGATTCAGCTTGGCGTTGCAACGACCGTATGGCAGAATGTCGCTTCAGGCAGGGTGAAGGGGTGGTGCCACGCACATCTAGCTTCCGAGACACAGCTGCACGCGTGCGTCCAGTAGAAGATGGAGGCAGGGAGGATGAGGGGGAGGAGGGAGGAGGGGGGAGGAGGGAGAGGGGGGAGGAGGGATGGGGAGGGAGGGGGGAGCGGGGAGGAGGGAGGATGGGGGGGAGGGAGGAGGGAGCAATTGTGCTTCGCTGGGCGTCGGATCGTGACAACACGGCTGGGACTCTTCCCTTCTCGGGCATCCCGCTGCCGATGCGGTCTTAGCTTGAAGTCGGGCCCGTCCCTCTACAGGAGCAATATTCCAAATTACCCCAGTGCGACCCTACCTAGAAGTTGGAGCCCCTAGGAAAGCAGCACTAGTTGCTGCTATGCTATGCCATGCCATACCATGATATGCTGCGCTATGCTATGCTATGCTGCGCTATGATGCGCTATGATGCGCTATGCTATGCTATGCTATGCTATGCTAAGATCTGCTATGCCATGCTGCGCTGTGCTATGATAAGCTATGACATGATATGCTATGTTATGCTAAGCTGCGCTATGCTATTATGTGCTGTGCTATGCTATGCTATGCTATGCTATGATTGGCTATGCTATGCTATGCTATGCTAATGTTGCGCTGCGCTATGCTAAGCTAAGCTAATCTAAGCTAAGCGAACCCTCTAGGCAGAGCCTAGGTAGGGAATTACACCCATGCTCATGCTATGCTATACTGCGCTGTGCTATGCTGTGCTGTGCTGCGCTATGCTATGCTATGCTATGCTATGCTATGCTGCACTATGCTATGTTATGCTATGATATGCGATGCTGCGCTGCGCTATGCTACGCTATGCTCTGCTCTGCTATGCTATGCTAAAGCTCAGCGGAGTTAATATGAAGGTAAGCTAAACTAAGACAAACCTGAGCTAAGATGAAGCTAAGCTGAGATGACATTTGCTAAGCTAAGATGAGATAAGCAACGCTGAGCTAAGGGGGCGTAATTGGGGGAACCGCGGGGCGGATACTCGGGGAACCGCCCGGGGCGAGTTGCACTGCTAAGCATACCGAGTAAGAACCCTTCTAGGCAGAGCCTAGGTAGGGAGCTAATCAAAAAATAGTATGGGGACGATTTTAGAGTATTTTTCGACCACTGTGGAGTATTGTTTGAGCATCTTTTATTTTTCGTCGAAGCTCCCCCTGTAGGGGGACACGCCCGACTTGATCTTAGCTTGGCCGGCGGAGCTGGCGGGAGTGGCCGTGGAGCTATAGGTGGAGCCGGGCCGGCGCTGGAGGGCCGGAGAGAGGACGGCGGCGCGGTGAGGCAGCCAGGACCGAAGCAGAGCAGCTGCATGTCGGCCACGCGCAGAAGTCGACTAGACTTATGATGCTCCAACCTACTTTAGCCTTGATCACCAGGAAGAATCTCGAGCGCCCAAGAGAGTACCGAAATTCAAGGGTTTTACGTGTCGGGCCCTGGGAGACACTCGCCCGACACTGTTTCAACACTTTTTCGACACTCTTTTGACACTTTTCGGGTTGCTCGAAATTATTGTTGGGATGTGGTCCTTAAGTAGGATGGGAACAACATAAGACTAGACGTAAGAGTGGCCTTTCGCCGGAGTGACCTTTGGTGCGGGCACAGATGGGTCCCCAGATTGCTGAAGACGAAGCGGTAGCAGCGGTTTACGCGCCAAGGTTTGGTCTCCCCTCGGCCCCCAAGAAGCCGCGCACCAAAGGGGGTGTAAGGGGGAGGGGGGAAGGTTTCTTTGAAAAACCCTTGCTCAGAAGGCGCTGGCCAGTACATGGAAGGGCGCCGGATGAGAGGAGTGGCAGGTTGGGTTGTTCTTTTGTTTCGATGTTATGCATTGTGCCAGGATGCTCCATGGGCCTTCTCCTCCTCCTGCTAGTCGGCGTTGGAGCTCAGACACTTGGAGCCTCGACGGAGGGCAATTGTTTGGATCCCGATTTGTGCATTGATGAAGCTGGTCTTTTACAACCCGCTGTCAGCGAGTACCCCGGACCGGCCGGAAGAAATTAGCAAAGCATTACGGGATTGGGATGTGATTGTGCTGATTGGGACACATCAGTGGGCAGGGCCAGAACCGATGAAGAAAATCAGCCACATTTACCACGTGGCATTGCAGTTTCGGGCAAAAAAGGGAAATGGGCTACTAAACCATGCGGAATGACTTCCATGGGATCCCACGAGATGATGAAGGACAACGCGCTCCGCACGCAGTCCCCCCCCCCTGCTCACCTGCAAGGAAGAGCAGCGGGAGCGCGATTGCCTGCCAAGGCTTACGATGTCGCTTCCGGTGCGACGTACTTGCCACCTGCGAAGGGGTTCACAAATCACGATACAGTCGGGGCCCTGAAGAAGGAACCCCTTTCGTTGGGGAGGGGCTCCTCGTTCCTTAATTGTTTCGCAACTTGCTTTGGATTGTCCTAAGGGCTTCGATACGAAATCGAAGTTCAACTTGTGGAAAATAGGGGCTTCGTTCCTTAGGGTTCCTTAGGTCAACGCCTCGACTGTACCATGTCCAAGAAAATTCTGGCGTGGGTGGCGGGTGCAGATCTACAACCATCGCGGGGGGAGATATACAAATAGCCCGTTGGGAACGCGCAGGACGGAGAGCAGGAATCTGGTGCTCAGCAGGCACTCTTCGGCCAAGCGTGCAGCCTCATGAGGACCTGTGGTCAAGGAAGTGGAAAATGACAGCGGCGCAGTATTCAGGATTTTTTGTGTGCACGGCCTACTGTCAGTGCAACGACATTTCACGAATGCGGGCCGGCTTACTACAGCGTCAAGCACGACAAGTTACACGCGAACAAATTCGACCACATTGCGATACCGACTGGGTCCTTACCGCACGCGCGACGGTGCGCAGTCTTGCGGGGGTGGCCAAGCAATTTCACTTGATCAAGGCGAACGGCCACCGAGACCACACTCCTCTGGGCATGGACAGTGGGCTGGAACATGGCATTCATTTCGCGCGCCGACCCAGGCAGCAAAGGGCGGGCAAACAGGTGGACCGCAACATGCTGATGGAGTGCTTGCGCAAAGGGCGTCTCCGAGCAGAGCTCCTGGGAGCCTTTTAACCGACATTTGAGGGCCTCGGCCGACCCGCAGCCAGGAGGGGCACCAGCGAGGGAGGGCACCTCGGAGTGCGACCCCGGCAGACGGCACTGCACCGCCCCCCCCGGTCGCGACAGGCGAGCTCGGAGGGGCCGTCGCTAGCGAGGGAATCCCGGAGTGTTGACCCTGATGGGCGAGCCGAGGATTATGATGCTCCAACCTACTTGAACCTTGACCACCAGGAAGAATTTCGAGCGCCCAAATAAGTACCGAAACCCACGGGTTTTCACATGTCGGGCCCTGGGAGACACTCCCCCGGCACTGTTTCGACACTGTTTCGACACTCTTTTGTTACTTTTCTGGGTGCTCGAAATTACTTCTGGCAGGTGGTCCTCAAGTAGGATGGGGACAACATAAGCCGAGGAAACGGAATGGAGGGAGTTCCAAGACCGCCCCGCAGCAGACCAGATGTGGAAGCGATGGAGCGAGGTCGGCAGGCGAGCGATGCCGGGGGTCTCCCCAGTCAAGAAGGGCAAGGAGGGCCCTGGAGGAGCAGCCTGTTCAGAAACCCGGCCGATTCTCATTGGCCGAACGGATGCGACTGCGAGCGGGCATTGTGGATTCACAGACGAAAGAGAGGCTGGCGGAAATGAAAGGGGAGCTCGGAACATCCAGGATGTGCTTCGGAGTCACAGGAACGACCTGGAAGCTGCCCCGGCAAAAAAAAAATGGCCGAGGAGATAAGGCAAACGCGCGAGAACAACCACAGCGATATGCACAGACTGCGTACCGAGTACCAGCGGAATGGGAGAGGACCACAGAAGAGGTATTATTTTTCGGCGCGCATATGGCGGGACACAGTGGAGTGGCTAAGAAAACGGGGGGAACACCCGCACGATGGGGGCTCGGCTGCGGCCCCACTGGGTTTAGAGGAGCACGAGAAGGCGCACGATGATCTCTAGGATCTTGGGGTCGCCCTTGGGGCCGCTTCGGGGGGGTCATTCCGCCCGCTCGGGGGTTCCCGTGGGGCCGTCCTGGCAGCCTTGGCGGGCCTCTTGAGGCCATCTTCACGGCTATCGATCAAAGGATGGGGAGGAGGAGAACGAGGAGGAGAAACAGCAGAAGGAGGAGCAAGAGAAGGGGGGGGGGTCCTGAATTTACGCCCTCCCCACCCAAGAGCCAACAACATCGCCTCTTGGGGCGCTCTTGGGCCGCTCTTGGGGCCGTCTGGGCCCCTCGTAGGGCTGTCTTGGGCCATCTTGGGCCAATCCTGAGGCCCCAAACGCGCATCGGAAGCGAGAAGGCGAGAAGGCAACAAGCATTGTCTGTTCGGTGTCCAGATGTGTCTGAAGGATTTTGGCCTTCTGGGGGGGGTCCTGCGCGGTTCCTGGAGCTTTCGTAACCGTATTGTGGCCCTCGTCAGGCCCGTTGGAGGTATGACGGAAATTGCCTTGACCCATCTTCGGGTATCTTGAGCCGCCTGGGAGGACATTTTGGTGCATCGGAGGCCGTCTTGGAGCCACCCCGGGCCATTTTGGGGCCCCTTAGCCGATCGCAAAACCGCCGCGACGAATTCTGGGGGGGCGAGCGTGGAGGGGGACCCTCCCCGAAGGGAAGATGGCTTTTTGGTGGACGAGAGGAGGGAGAACTCGATAGACCATCCCAGCCCAGGCCAGGCCTGATCTAGGATGGAACTCGGCCAGGCCAGTCGTGCCACGAGGCCAGGCCAGCCATGGACTGGGCCCAGATCCCAGATGCGGGCGTCTCGAAAAAGTCGAGACGGAGGTTTCTCGTCGCTTTCGGCGTCTCGTGGCCCTCGCTGGGCCTCGGGACCGTCAAACATCGACGCGGGATAAAAAACGGTCCCGGGGAAGTGGTCGGGAGGTCGGGGGCCCGAGCTTCGAACACATCGAAACGTCCGATGTCTGGGGACCATGGCGTCCGGGATCGTGGCCGATGCGGACAACAGCATGGCGTCTTGGATCCTGGCCGATCGGGATCCTGGCGTCGTGGATCGTGGCCATGGCGTCAGGGGACTACGACGTGTCGAACAACAAAAGTTCCGAACAATCGAAACGTCTGGGATCTTGGCCGGCGCGGGCCCCAGGGGGGGCCCCCCTGCGCGACGGGGGAGGAGGAGGAGGAGGAGGAGGAGGAGGAGGAGGAGGAGGAGGAGGAGGAGGAGGAGGAGGAGGAGGAGGAGGAGGAGGAGGGGGGAGGGGGAGGAGGGGGGGGGAGGAGGAGGAGGGGGGGGGAGGAGGAGGGGGAGGAGGAGGAGGAGGGGGAGGAGGGGGGGAGGCGCATGGGTACCTCTTCTTCCGCTGAGGAAGCGCCCCTCTCGGCTGCCCCGACGGCCTCCGTGGCTCCCTGGGCCGCCCCGAACCGCGGGGGCGCGTGCCCCCCCCCCCCCCGGTGCAGGCCCCAGGGGGGGTCCCCAGGACTTTCACCCAGATGCCCAGGGGGGGGTCCCCCTGCGCGACGGCGGCGGGGACCAGCTCGGGCGCACCTGGGCCGAGGGAGGCCAGAGGCAGGGGAGTGAGGTGGCGCTGGGCCGCCCTGCTGGGGAAGGGGGGGGAGGAGGGGGAGGGGGAGGGGGAGGAGGAGGAGGAGGAGAAGAGGAGAAGAGGAGAAGAGGAGAAGAGGAGAAGAGGAGAAGAGGAGAAGAGGAGGAGGAGGGCAAACGTCACGAGGGAGAGGGAGGGAGGAGGAGGGCGGAGGTGGGAGGAGGGAGAGAGAGAGAGAGAGAGACAGAGAGAGAGGGTGAGGAAGGGAAAATAATGAGGAGGGATGAAGATGAAGGGCGAGGACGAGGAAAAACATGAAGGATGATTAGGACAACCAGGTGGAGCGAGGAGGCAGGGAGGAGGAGGGGGGAGAAGGAGGAGGAGGAGGAGAAGGGGGTAGACGATCATGACATAGTAAAGGGTATAGTTGTGGGGAGAGCGAGAGGAATATACATAGAGAGAGATAAAGAGAGAGAGAGAGGGAGATAGAGAGAGAGAGAGAGAGAGAGCGGGACAGAGAGAGAGAGAGAGACATCGACATTACACACTTACTATGTATATGCATAGCTCGTGAGAGTGATGGAGAGAATGTGAGAGGAAGAGAGAACGAGAGGGACACATGGAGAACGAGCGATGGGTACGTCGGGGGAGGCGGAAGGGATGATAAGCAGGAGGTGGAGGAGGACGGGGAGGAGGGACGAGGCTGGCGTGGCAGTCGAGAGATGGAGGCGCCAGGTTGAAGGGGGTAATGAGGGCGAGGGGCAGTGGGTCCTTTTCGCCTTCCCTCCTCCACGAGGGAGGAAGATACAGTCGGGGCCCTGAAGAAGGAACCCTTTTGGTTGGGGAGGGGCTCCGCGTTCCTTAATTGTTTCACAGCTTGCCTCAGGTTTTCCTCATGTTTTCGATAGCAAATCGAAGCTTAACTTATGGAAAGAAAAAGGGACCTCGTTCCTTATTTACGGTCCCTTAGGTCAACGCCCCGACTGTATGCGGGAAGGTTAATCACTCGAGACGCTGACATAAGGACCCGTTTTTTGCTCGGGTTCTTGGGTCTTTCGTCGTATGCCGTGCAGTCTGTTGGTGGTCCAGGCTCGCCGTGGCCAGAAGACTCCGATTCGTTCCTCACCATGCGTCTATGGCGATGGCACCATGACGGCACGAGGGAGGGGGGAATACACAGGAGGAGGAGGCGGAGGAGGAGGCGGAGGAGGAGGAGGAGATGGAGGAGGAGGAGGAGGAGGAGGAGGAGGAGGAGGAGGAGGAGAAGATGGAGTTGGCGGAGGAGGAGGAGGAGGAGGCGGAGGAGGAGGAGGCGGAGGAGGCGGGAGGAGGAGGAGGAGGAGATGGAGGAGGCGGAGGAGGAAGAGGAGGAGGAGGAGGAGGAGGAGGAGGAGATGGAGGAGGGTGAGGGAGGGAGGAGATGGAGGAGGACGAAGGGGAGCGAGGAGCGGCAAGCAGGCGAAAAGAGGAGAGTGCAGCTGCATACGGCGAGTCCCGCCGCCGTGCCTGTTCGGGTGGGGGGGAGCGCGGGAGGCCGTGGCGTGTGGCACCCCAGGTCCAGAGGGCGTGGGAGAGCCGCAACACGTCGCCCGCGGCGTCTCGGGGTGTTCCCTCTTCGGCTTCGTCGTACTCCTCCTCGCTCCGTCCTCCGTGGCCTCCTGCCGGGGGATGGCAGTCTTGCGGGTTCCTCGGGCCGCTCGGGGCTGGTTGTTCTGGGCCCTCTCTCGTTGGGCCGTCTTTAGAGGAGCTCTTGGGCCGTCCAGGGGGTCTCTTCTTGGCAGAGTCGCGCGATCGAGGGGCCCCCCAACGCGGTCGTGGGTCATTCCGGGGGCCCGCTTGGGCCGGCTTCGGGCTCTCTTGGGCTATTTTGATGCTGCGTTGGAGGAGTGCTCGGCCATTTGGGGGGCCCTCTTGGGCCGTCTCGGAGCCATCTCGCAGGCCTCCATAGCAGTCAGGAGCTGCATGAAGTCCGAAACGATCAAGACGCCCAACGTTTCCAACAGCCACGGACACATGCATGGTGTTGGTGGGGTTCAGTTGGGCCATCTTGAGGACACCTCGGGCCGTCGTGGGGTCCTTTTGTGGGCCGTGCCTGGGGCATATTGAGCCATCTTGGCAGCCCGGGTTGTCCGCCTCGGCCAGTTTTGGAAGCTCGGGAGCGCGGGCCACTTGGTTTTTATGAACAGCAGGTCGTGGCCTCGGGAGCGTATATACCCGTCCGTTTGTGCAGCGGGCCGTGGCCTCGGGAGCGCGAATCCGTGGTGTCTCTTCCGATTGGCCGCACCCTCGTGAGCGCGGCGTTGTGGTGCCCCAGACAGTGTTGGCATTTTGGGATTCTCGCTCCGGTTCGTTGAGGTAACCTGTAACCTCCTGGGTGTGTCAGGTGTTCGGCAGGTGCCCGGTCGGTGGGCGCAAGAGTCGTGTGTGTGGTGTGTGTGTGTGTGTGTGAGTGTGTGTGTGAATGTGTGTGTGAATGTGAATGTGTGTGTGTGAATGTGTGTGTGAATGTGTGTGTGTGAATGTGTGCGTGTGTGCGTGTGTGCGTGTGTGCGTGTGTGCGTGTGTGCGTGTGTGCGTGTGTGTGTGTGTGTGTCTGTTGAGGTTTCGCTCAGTGCCCGCCCTTGGGCGCCCGTCGTGGTAGGGGGCTTCATGCGAACACTGCCCCTACCCCCCACGATTTCTGAGGGGGAGGGTGGGCTTCCCTTCGACCGGGAGCTCCCGAGCGAAGTGAACCCCACCCTCCCCCCCGGGGGGGGGCAGGGTTAGGCTTCGCACGTGGCGTGCGTGCGTGCGTGCGTGCGTGCGTGCGTGCGTGCGTGCGTGCGTGTGTGTGTGTGTGCGTGTGTGTGTGTCCGTTGAGGTTTCGCTCAGTGCCCGCCCCTGGGCGCCCGTGGGCGCCTCGAGCGCTGGGCCACGGTGCTCGCCCGTGGGCCGCCTCGTGGGCGCTCTCTGTGCGCCGGGGGTGGGCGTGCCGAGGCTCCGCCTTGGCGCCCGCCCGTGGGCCCCTGCGGGTGTGTTGCCTCGGCGGCGGCTCTATTCTGCACGCACGAAGTTCGGGGGCGGAGACGAGGGGGGTGATGACCAGGGGGGGGGATATCATGGCGGGGGCCATGGTATTTCCGCAGATGGCTTGGCGCCGCTTCTTGTTTCATTGCGTCCCTGGCCCCCCCGCTGGGCCGCGCACGTGCCGCCGGTCATGATTTGCACCCCCCCTCTTGGACACCCCCCTCTTGGCCGCCCCCGATATTCTGCACGCACGAAGTGGGTACTGCAAGAACGGGTACAATGCACAACAGCGGATCTCGTTCGTTTTGAACAGGGCTCGCTGTCCACGCCGCGGCGGCCTGTGTCCATGCGAGAGGAGGCCGCCTGCCCAACAGCGGCCGCTGTCGGTTTGGGACAACAGTTGCTGTCTTTGGCACTGTACCCATTTTTTCGGTACCCATTTCGGGCGTCCAAATCTATAGGGGAACGAACAATGACATAAACATAAAACTCGGAGGTCCGCGCGGAGTTCTTGGGGTACTCGCTGGACCTCCCTCCCTGGCGCGCGGAGCGCGCCAGGGGCGGCGCCGGAAGCGCCGCCAGGGGGCCCCAGCGCCGATCCGAGAAATCCGCGCGGGCCTCCGAGTTTTTATGGTTGTGTCGTTGTTCGTTTCCCTAGTCTCGTGAGCTCGAGGGCCTTACAGATCGCACTCCCTCGTTTGTGCCACATAGCTTGCACCACATGCTTACACCATAGCTCATGCAACATGTCCTGCACCGCGCAGCGGTCACCACACCGCCTGCACCATGTAAATTCGCCACGCAGCCTACACCACAGCTTACACCACGTAGCTCGCACCGCACAGCTCACCCTGCGCAGCTTGCACCACATGGCCCACGCCGCTCAGCTCACGTCCTCCAATCTTCCTCCTCGTCCTCCCCCCCCCTCTTCCGCATCCCCTGGGCCTCCGCCTCGTCCCTCCCGCCCCGGTTCCCGTCGCCCACTGCCCTGTTCCGTGGACCGTGCGCGCCGCGCTCCCCACGTTCGGGCCGGACGAGAGGGGGGGGACTGGGAAAGGGGGTGGTGCAAAATTTGCTGCACCTCACCGAGGGGCCCATTCCTCGATACATGGCCGCCTCCTGCGCCGGGAGGCGCCGGGAAAATCAGCTACGTGAGCTGATTCTCACCCCCCCCCTTTGCTATCGCCCCCTTTCGCCCGACCCGACACGCCCCCCCCGCCCCGAGGCCGTCCTGAGGAGCGAGGCGGACCGCGTGCTGGAGTACGCGAGGCAGTACGTCGAGCAGGCGGGGGGAGGGGCGGGAGGATCGGGGTCGGCAAGGAGGGGGGCGTCGACTAGTCGGGGAAACGTACGACTCGAGTAAGCTGGGACTCGTGTTGACCTGCCGTTTTTGACGAGCGCGTTTTGGACTTTGGCGGTCTGGTTTTCGTGGGATGTCTGCGGCGGGAGCTCGCGCCAAATTCCAGACTGGGTTTCGTCATTTTCTTGATGGCCCCGTCATGCCAACCCGAGGCCCCTGTACCCGAGTCCTTTGTCTCTTCGAACTAGGGGGGTAGACATCATGGCGTGGGCCATGATATTTCCTCAGATTTCGTGGCGCCTCTTCTTGTTTCACTACGTCCCCAGCCCCCCACCCCCCTCGGCCACGCACATGCCGCTCGTCATGATTTGCACCCCCCCCTCTTGGACGCGCCCCTCTTGGCCGCCCCCGAGAGGAGGAGGAGGAGGAGGAGGAGGAGGAGGAGGAGGAGGAGGAGGAGGAGGAGGGAGTTTTCCTCCCCCACCCCTCGAAACTCCCTCCTTCCAAGCCCCTCCCCTCCCTTTCCACGGCGTTCTCTCCATTCCCTCCTCCTCCCCTGCCTCCTTGCTGTGTCCTTCCGGGCCCCGCAGATTTCCACTTCCCCCCTCCATCACTAACCTTCCCCCTCTCAGTTTCCTCTGCTACTCTTCCCCCTCTCGTCCTTTCTTTTTTCCTCCTCGTCCCCCCTCCTCCTCCTTCTCCTCCTTCTCCTCCTTCGTTCCTCCTCCCCATCCATCATCATCCGCCTGCCTCCTCCCCGTCGCCCTTCTATATTTCCTGCCATCCCACCAGAACCTTCTCTTCCTTTTCGTCTTTCTCATCCTCTCATCGTGGTCGTCTGTTTTTCTCTAAACGCCACAGACCACAGATGGAAGGCGAGACTTGTCGAGTGGGCGCCTTGGTTTCGAGTGAACGCCAGGAGAAACCTAGGTCGCCCGCAGCAAGAGTATACGGTTGTGTTATTGTTTTACTGGGTCTTTGCTTTCCGCCGCTGTGCTGTCGTTGCTCTTGCCATGCTACTGGCCCTCTCCGACGTCCGTCCGTCGTTCTCCTGCCCTGCCGGTTCCCTTCTTTGTTCTCCCCTGAGATCCCGCGTTGCGAAAATCATGCAACAATTCAGAAACCCACGACTGGATCCCTAGACCCCATCTCTCTGCGGCATGTTTCGAGCCAGGTCGATCCGAGATGGTCCTGGGGCCCGAGACCGCTGGACAGCGCAAGTCCTCGCTCCGGACAGGGCTAGGACGAGGATAAACCAGTTCCAGAGCGTTCCGGAGCGCTCTCAGCGCGTTCTGGAACAATCTGAGAAGGCCGTGGCGCCCGAGACATCCTCCAGAGCCGCCAGATCTCAGAGATTCTCCATGTATCCCCACCCTGTTATGTCCTCGTCCAGGATTCGTTTTGCTCGTTCTCGTCGTCCTCGTCGTCGCCTGCGTTTCTTGCTCCTCCGCGCTGCACTCCACGTGGCAGGCTCGCTGCCCGCCTTCCCGCCGCCCTCCCGCCTCAGAAGCGCCCCTCCGTCGCTCAACTGCCTTGGTATCCCTCGGACGTGTGCACTTTTCCTCGGCGGGGACTAGTAAGGAGCATCCTGGATCATCATGCGATAAAACAATAAAAACAAAAAAAACTGACGAAACCGAACAAAAGCACAGGGAATGGATGTCCGAGCGACGGGGAGCCGCTGCTCGAGTCAGGCGGCCCCCGACCAGAAACGCCCCCGCCACCGCCGCCTGGTGGTGCCCGCGGCAGCGCCTCAGAAATTTGGCATCGCTCGGACGTGTGCATTTTTTTTCGGCGAGGACCATCGAGGAGCATCCCTGATCAGTTTGCAAAAAACACGCGCGACACTGAAAAAACACAGGGAATGGACGTCCGAGCGTCGGGGAGCCGCTGCTCGAGTCAGGCGGCCCCCGACCAGAAGCGCCCCTCCGTCGCACACCACCCACCAAACCACCCCAACCCAACCCGAAGGCCTCAATTTGCCCTCCATTTCCCGTGGGGTGGGTTCGTGGAACATTGCAAAACACACATGGAACCCGTACCCCCCCCAACCCGAAATCCGGGTCTTCGGGTTGGGTTGGGGTGGTTTGGTAGGTAGTCAGTTGCTCAGCCGCTGCTCGAGGCGCTGCTCGGGCCGAGCGGCCGCGGGCCACGGCGAGCTCCCCCGGCGCTGCCCGCTGGTCCTCGCGCGCTCCTTTGGGCGTCGCTCGGGCGTGTGCATTTTTTTTCTCGGCGAGGACCGTCGAGGACCGTCCTGGACCCTCAAATCAAAAACAAAAACGCGCACGGAGCCGACAAAATATGCACAGGAAAGGGACGTGTCCGAGCGAGATGGCAAGTCCTCTGGTTGTATTGGGCGTACAGGCGGCCCCGATCAGCAGGTCGACCCTGCCAGATCAAGAGTACCCTTGTGTCCTGTCTCGCGACCCATGCTCCGTGCATTCCTGTGGCGATGTGGCCCTCGAGAGGGTCTTGTGCCCTCTTGCGTGTCCTCGCCAATCGAGCCCGACTGCAAGTCGGGCCCGTCCCTCCGCAGGGGGGCCCTTCGAACATAACTCGTCCAGCGGCACCGGGTGCCACCGTCGGCAGGCAGCCGCGCCAGTCGGAGGGCCGCCCGCCCGCCCCTCGCGCACGGCCCCGGCCCTCCTGCGCGCCGCCGGCCCGCGTGCAGCAGCAGGGCCCCGCACGCGGCTCGCGCGGGCCCCGCACGCGGCTCGCGTGCGTGCGCGGGCGCTGAAAACAAAAAATCGGAAAAAAAAGCATTGCCAACAAATGGTCGGGGGACTAATTATGTCTGAGCATGTTGGGGGGGCACTGTCTGACTGTCTTTTATGTTCCTTCGTCCAAGGTCGTGCGCGTGTGCCACCACCACCACCACGAAGCCAAGCATCCGGAAGGACGCGTGGGCAGAAGGGCGCACGACTGGCGACATTTCAGGGAAAGGATCGGAGCGAGAACGCCCCACGGCGGTGAGGCAGGAGAATGAAGCGCCCGACTGCATTACTCAGTGACAGAGAGGAACAAGGAAAATCGTCAAAACATAAACAAAAAATCAGTGTGCGGGCGCCGAAAAAAAAACCGAATGTTGTCAAAAAATGCTCGGGGGACGATGTCTGAGCATGTTGGGGGGCACTGTTTGACTGTCTTTTATGGTTCGTCCAAGATCTGCCTGTAGGGGGACACGCGTGCCCCGGCTCGCGTGCGTGTGCCACCACCACTACCACCACGAAGCTAAGCATCCGGAAGGACGCGTGGGCAGAAGAGCGCGCGATTGGCGACACTTCAGGCAAATGATCAGAGCGAGAACGCCCCCACGACTGCGAAGCAGGAAAATAAGGCGCCCGACTGTGCACTACTCGGTGGCAGAGAGGAACAAGGGAAATCGTCAAAAGATTGTAAACCAATCAGTGTCCGGGCGCCGAAAAATCGAAAATTGTCAAAAAATGGTCCGGGGACTATGGCTGAGCATGTTTGGGGGGCACTGTTTGACCGTCCTTTATGGTTCGTCCAAGATCTGCCTGTAGGGGGGCACGCCCGACCTGGCTTGACTCTAGGTCATTCACATGGGGTCGGAGCAGATGGGGTCGGAGGATCGCGCCACATCGCCGATGCACCGGCGATGCGGCGCGATGCCGAGCCCGATGTTCTTCACGCCGATGTCACCGATGCTTCGCCGACGTCGCCGATACATCGCTGGTGCAGCGCCGATGCATCGCCGATGCATCGGAGATGTGTCGCCGATGCGGCGAGATCTACCGACCCCATCTACTCGGACCCCATCTAGGGGGCCTCTAACCAACCATGCCTCGTCAGTGACGGTGTGGCATTCCTCGAATAGCAGCAATCTCCATCGACATACTTCCAGCAGGTGCTCGGGGTCAAATCATATGAGCTATTGCGCCGCAAGTGGCAAGGTTTCCCTACTGGATGGAAATGGACTCCACGAACAAGCGCGGATTCCTTAGATCGGCATCGGGCCCCCCTGGAGGCGCCTCCGGCGCCGCCCCTGGCGCGCTCCGCGCTCCAGGGGTCGAGCGCCGATCCAAGACATCCGCACGGATTTCGAACATTGAGGATTACAGTGCAGACCCATGCCAAGAGACACCCTGCTTGCCTCCAGGGTGCCCTTGCCTCGGGTTCTGCTGTGGAAAGCGTGACGTTCCCACACCAACATTCAATGGAAGTCTTGGGCTCTCAGGGTTGGGTTTCTTGTGGAGGGTTTTTTGTGGTCGGGCTCCTACTGTATTGCATCCAGTTTTCCTTTTCGTAGTGCCGCACAGGTGCCTCACGTTGCCGCAGTCCGTCTGCAACCCCAGGCGTGGCGGGCGGTCTGCCCGCCTCCCCCCCACGGGCTGCCCTGCTGTGCTCTGATACGTGCCGCCACCGCAGGTCCGGGAGCAGCAGAAGAAGATAGCGGCGCGCGGGGCAGTGTCTCCTTGGCTCGGGGGTGCCTTGTAGTCGGGAGGGCTTGGGGGGGAGGCGGGGAAGGTGGTGGCGGAGGATGGGGGATGGAGGATGAGGGGTGGAGGATGGGGATGGACGATGGAGGTGGAGGAGGAGGGGGGGAAGGAGGAGGGGGAGGAGGAGGAGGAGGAGGAGGAGGAGGAGGAGGAGGAGGAGGAGGAGGAGGAGGAGGAGTCGAGAACACGGCCCTGGACCCCCGCCCCGACGGCGACGGCACAGCGGCGTGACCGCTGCTGCGTTGGCTCAAGAACACATGCAGGACGCGTGCGCGGGGTGCATGCGTGGGCCTGAGGGCCCTGGAGCATAGCGTGGTGCACCGAGGGCACTACGAGCGGGGAGAAGCCGGCCCCGCGACTTGGTAGCGGAACCCTGGTCCACTTCGGGCTGGGGTTCAGCGCTGCCACTGCGCGGCAGCCCGAGGAGTCCGGCTTCAAGCGGGTCATCGAGGTGACCCACGGCGCGGAGGAGGCTTTCATCGAGGTGAAGTCCAGCCCCTCCGCAGACTACGACATCCGCTACGACAGCTTCAGCACTGGACAGCTTCGGTGTGAAGAAGCATTCTCTATCACTGGAGTGAGCTTGCTCACAGATCACGTACATCCGAGAGTCTGGCGAGATGGAGCATCTTCATCTCGAGGTTATGGGCAGCCTCAAGGTCCCGCCGGCATGGAACCCAGAGCAAGACAGGCAGTGCCCCTTTCGATTCTGGCTGACAGATGTGACGATGTGGGCTGCAGCGGCGGCGAGAGAGGTTATGCCCGAGCAACAAGGACCAGCAGTCGCACTACGACTCGGAGGCGCAGCAAGGAGCTTAGCGAGAGAGACTCCACCAGAACAGCTGCGAGACGGAACCATCGCTGACCCAGGTTATGGAGCAGGAACGCGACAACTCACAGGATTGCAACTACTGGTGCTCGTTCTTTCCAGATCATTCGCCCCGCTCGGTGACGAGAACGAGCGCCGGGCGACCTCTGACTTGTTGGGCTTCTACCGCAAGAGTAACGAGAACATAGATCAGACGCTCAGCAGGTTCGAGGTCACACGACGACGAGCAGCGGCGCTTGGAGGATTTCAGATGGGGCTTCAGGGTTACGCTTGGATGCTGATGACGGCCCTGTAGCCCCGCGGAGTGGAACGAGTTACTGATCCACTTCAGAGGCCACCTGCCGAGGACGGAGCAGCAGTTTGCGGAGCTGGTAGAGTATATTCGACGGTACGGACACGTTCTGGAGAAGGGACCGATGCCGGCGAATCGAAGCAGCAATGGCAAGGGCCACAGCCAGTTTTTCTTCCCGACGTTCAACTTCGGCGGTGGCGATGGACATCAAGACGATTCAGCAGACGGCTACACTGGCGGAGGCATGGCAGCATCGCGGGCCCCCTCGGCTCCCTGGGCGCCTACTGCTGCAGCACCGCCGGCGCCAGTTCCGTGGCGGGCCTACTATGGCAACGAGTACGATGATAACGACACGGACACCGACGACGACGACGGAGAGGACTTGGACGGCTCGGATTTCCCGGGGCAGATCGGCCAAGACGACGCGGTCATCCAGCAGTACCTCCACCAGAACTACGTCTTTCAGAAGAAGCGCTGGCGACGGTTTACAGGCAGACCTACGAGATTCCACTTGTTTGGAAAGGGCAAAGGTGGCAAGGGATCTCTGATCCCGTTTCGTGGAGGTGGAACCTTTGGTCAACGCGGACAAGGCAAAGGCTACCGCTTCGAAGGAAAAGGGCGACGAAATCCCACCGGGCGCGACGGCAAGGTCATGAAGTGCCTCACGAAGGGTTGCGAGAGCGAATTTCACCTTGTTAAATACTGCCCCCACCGACAAGGTAAAGGGCAAGGAAAAGGCAATTTCGTCGCGAATGGACCGCGACCGGTATCAGCAGCCTCGGCAGCGGTGCCATGGTTCGGACTCAACAACGCGTCAGCTACAGCGACAGCAGCGACGACAAGCAGGTCGGCCTACGGTTCTGGATCGGTGAGCTTCTTTGCCACAGAGACACCCAATAACGACAATGAGCAGAGAGCGAGCGCGAGTGTGGAGGGCTCGCACGGTTTCACTGGCGTGGTGATATCGCCAGCGCAGCCAAAGGCCATCGAGGACAAGGCCCCTGAGTGGTTTGGACCGAGACCGATGGCGGAAAGCATGGGGCCCCCAATTACAGGGTCGGCATTGTCCTCGGGCGAAGGACGCTACTTCCCGATGCCGCCGACCATGGGAACCACCAAGTTCGGGGAGATCACGGACGTGCCATCGGGACCCACGTTTGGAATCGGACATATCTCGGGACTTTCATCGATAGTGGCCCCGAAGGACGAGGACGGAGATAGAGCAAAGGAGCCACATACCGCTGGAGTTCCTCTCCCGAAGACAACGATGGAAACGACAGCGAAGACACAGCCGATGGCATCGGATATATTCGGCATCAAGAAGGCAGACGAGAAGCAGGATACCTCCTCGATCAACGTAGGCGGCTTGATTTTCAGCCCCGTTCCAGCGAAGATGGTGACCCCCCAGAGCGCGAGCAGCGGAGTTCAAGGCTCGGCGGCGAGCTGGGACAAGGTGTCGAGCGGGCCCGAGCAGCAGGTGGATCTGTCATCCTTCGACCTCGACTCCGAGGGCTACTTTCAGCCCGGACATCCTCATGAACGTGAACGCCCAGAACTACTGAGAGGAGCGGGCGATGTCGCCATTCCAGATGATGACGAACACACCGAGCATGACGGGCAACGCGACGAAGTTAGAGAGGACAACGGCGGCCAGCAGATCCCGCCGGACAATCGCACAGGTGGAGTGGATTTCAGCGATGATCGTGGAGACTTCACTGGAGTTGTCTGGACCTTGGGGGGAAACCGTGAGGAGACCTACCTGGGGCACGAGCGCACCCGGCTTGATGGCGGCGAGATGGGCATCTTCGTGGACCCGGGAGCGCACGGCAACCTCGTCGGAGAACGCTGGGCACGACAACAAGCGGACAAAGCCATGCAGTACCAGCGCGACACGGAGAAGACTGAATTGCGAGAACCCCTGGAAGTTAATGGAGTTGGAAAAGGACCCGACTACTGCCACCAGCAGTGGAAGATCCCCATCGGCACGCAGGAGATCTACCAGGAGGGCGATGGCAGCGGCAACCTGGACACGTACACGGCGCCCATCATTCCTGGAAGCGATGTTCCTGCGTTGTTGGGCAACAGTTCTCTAAAGAAGCTCGATGCGATCCTGGGGCGCGGCCCTGGTATACTACATCTACGCGGGCCCGGACGCAGAGAGTTCGCCCTTCCAGCAGGGGCTCGCAGCTACAACCTGAAGGAAAGCAGAAGCGGACATTGGCTACTACCCTGTTTGCGATTCAGAGAGGCACCGACCTCCAGCGGCAATACACGATACCCTGTTAATCGACTGCAACCTCACCCCGAGCGCTTGGATTTCATGTGGGGGGATTTCCGGGGAGAGATGCGCGGCCTGGGCTCGACATTCAATGAGGTGTCACAGCTGTGCGCCGAGTGCAAGCGGCACGTGCAGAATAAGAGTTAGAATGGATTTCAACATTCGCTGAAGGCGCATGGCATCTACAAGGAGTGCATTCCGAGCAAGAAGTGGGCCAGCATCAAGGAGATCTTCGGTGACAAGAAGGAGAAGGAGTTGCGTTTCGTGGCGCTGCCGGTTCCGGCAGACTCCTCGAGCCTGCGAAGGGGCAGGGCTCCGGCCGCGGCGGCCGGAGCAGTTGCCGAACGCCGTTCGGCGACGCCGCATCATCATTTTCATGCTCAAGTTCTTGGCCACCGCTTGGGATTGGCAACTACGACGCGCGCGGCACGAGAAGGAGGATAGCCCGTGACACAGGTGATGGCCCACGACCAGGTGATAGGCAAGGAAGCGCGAGATCTGAGACGACACCTCGCCGAAGGACGCTTCCGGCTACTGCGGGCAGATCTACCGCGACGTCGAGGAGCTGAGCGAGGACAGCGACCCCAAAAGCGCCTGCGACTTCTTGAAGACTGCGTACGAGCACAGTTGGCTGGGGGCGGAGACGATCCTGAAGCTTAGACGAGAGGTCCCCCACGAGGTGGAAGCACATTGGCGTGCTTTCGATGCGCAGTCTCTACCAGACGAGGCAGGAGAACGAGGATGGAGTGATCGAGTAGACCGAATACAGTCCACCTTTACAGTTCGAGCCCAACCATGTCAATGCCAAGGAAAAGGACGCCGGCACAAGAATGATTGGAGTATCTCGTCCGGGAACGGCGAACGCTGACAACAGCGAGACGAACAACGCGCACAATACATGGTGGCGATGTTTCGGGAGATCAACGACGCCCTCTTGTTAGAGGGTAACCGTTCACCACCAGAGTCGAGAACTACGGGCGAGAACACGACAGGCGATGACGAAAACTCCCACCCGACGGAGGCGAGGATGCGCGCGAAGATGAAGTCGCTAACCGACACACCGAAGGAGGCCAAGAAGCAGAAGTTTGAGATTGAGAACCATTCCGACGACTGCGGAGACAGCATATTAGGTCTGGCCATGGACGACTCCCCCTTCGCCAATTACGAGGACACGGACATCTACTCGGATGACGACGACGACATTATCTTGTTCGTGGAGGGGGAGTCCTACGACGGCAACAGTTATGCTTCATGCCTGCGGGGAGTTGCCGGAGATGATGGAGCAACCTAGTACGAGGGACCAGGAGTCAGGAAAGCAGCAAGTCTCTCTCACCTCACGGCTTGCCTGGCGAAGGCGGCCTCCGGCATGGATGTGTTGGAGATTTGCAGAGGACGAGGCTACGTATCCAGGATTTGTGTGCGATGAAAATGCAGAGTGGGACCCAACTTCGACATCGTCTGCGGTGTGGACCTATCGGATCCCAATGAGCAGTGGACGTCGTGGCACTACTTGGAGCGTGGAGTGATGGTTGTTATCATGACACCTCCATGCACTCCCTACGGACGTTTCTCCAGCGTGAATATGATCAATGCGACGGATAGCTGGAGGGAGAGTCTCGAGCGATGCAGGCCACTGGCCTTGCTATGCGGAGAAGTGGCACTGTGCGAGCTGCGGAGAGACCGAGCCTTCATCAATGAGAGTCCAGCCGGATCCAAGTTATATCAAGAAACACCGTGGCGAGCAGTCGCTCAGTTTCCTGGAGTTGTGTGCGCTATGGTGGATCAGTGCATGGCCGGTCGACAGAGTGCTCGAGGCATACCACGCTAGAAGAGGACGGAGCTATGGGCATCCCACGAGGCACTACTACGACACGTGGTTGGATTTCAATGCGACGGGAGTCACGTGCATGATACGATTGAAGGACGAGAAGCCACGTCGAGGGCCAGATTGTGGCCCTGGAGATTCGCGGCGGCTATCGCCAATGGCGTCACGGACTACTTGCCGGAGAAGAGAAACGTAGAAGTTAAGACGTACTTGCAGAACACTACGGCGCATCCCGGGGCAGCGGCAGCAGCGCCGCTCGAGGAACATGGGCCCTGGGTTCCGCCCTGGGATCTGCCGGCCCCTCCAGATGCAGTGCCGGAAGGAGGGGGCCGAAGGGGAATATCCAGAAAGACAGAGGACGCCGGAGTACCAGTACCTGGACCTGAAGGTACCCCAGCACCAGCACCAGGACCACCGGCGGCAGCGATTCGGCCCCCAGATCCGAGGACGCAGCTACGACGAATGCGAGAATGGGAATGCCGAGCGTGCAACGGAGCACATGTTCCACACTCTCGGGTGCCTGTAAAATGTCGGATTGCCACGCCGGGAGTACGAATGTGGAGATGCAAGCAGTGCCAGCGAGGCAAACCCGAGGACGCACCTGGACATACTCTCGTAGCAGGACAGTGTTGATGGACAACTGAAGTGGGTCAAAGACCAGCTGGAGGGGGACGCCGACGAGCACGAGCAGCTGCCCACGACCCAGCGCCAGGAGCAGCTGAACCAAGACCAGACGGACCTGTGGACGCTGCCGATGTCCCAGACTCACCAGCACGACCTGAAGCTGATCAAAGTATGGAGGTGGACTGGTCGAGCTGGGATCTTGGATCCGCCCGGCGGGCGCTTTTCGGCAATAGCGAGGCAGTGACACGAAGAGTGCTACGTCGACTGCACCTGAGGTGGTCCCACGCCAACAAGAAGGCCATGAAGCGCATGCTCTCAGCCGGAGGCGTGCCGCCTAAGGCCTTGCAGATGGTCGACGACATCGTGGGCACCTCCAGAGTTTGCCGATTGTGGTTGAAGAAGGGAACCAGGGCGACCACGACGATCAAGCTGAGTGTACAGTTCAACGACGAGGTGCAGTTGGATCTTTTATTATATGAACGACGCGTTGTTGGACATCTCATCGACGGTTGCATCAGGTTCACCGTGGCGCGAGAACTTGCAGATAAGACGATCGAGGCGCTCTTGGATGTCACATGGGTGAACTGGATACAGGTCTTCGGGCCCATGGCAGTACTGACCGTCGACGGCGAAGGAGCTATGGCATTCGGAGAGGCTGGAGTGGCTCTCGGACGCATGGGAACCACGCGCAAACTGAAGGCTCCAGGACAACATGCGCAAGTGGTTGAACGACATCACGATATACTACGCCGACAGATGCATGTCATAGACGCCCATCTCCGAGAGCTCGGCATCAAGTTGTCCTTCGCGCGAAGATTGGCCGAAGCAGTCCTCGCCAAGAACTCGTTCCTGACCGTTGGAGAAGGCACGCCATACAAAGCACTTTACGGACGTGTGCCTCTCGTGCTCAGGGACTTCGATAGGAGCGGAGCTCAAGAGTTGGACGATGAAAATGGGCTAGCGATGTTCAGGCACTCGCAGAGGCTTCGAGAGATCGCGACCATGTCTATCATCGAGGCCACGGCACAGGAGGACGGAGCGAGCTGCCAAGGCACGAACGGCCCCTGCGACGGAGGATTTGCATTTGGAGATCGGAGGCCTCGTGGACTTCCACAAGCCGTGGAAAGGTCCAAAGGACGTGCCGAGCTGGAAGGGACCAGCCAAAGTTGTCTCGGCACAAGCACCAGAGACGGGGACGATCACCATACACCTGGCAAGGACGCGACATGATAGTCAACACTCCTGATGTTAGACGTGCAATACTGTATAGCTATTCCGTATCCTTCATGGCGGTTGAGAGCGACCCAGCGCTGATCCTATTGGATTTCGTACAGAATATCAGGAAGGTTTTGAGCATCTTGGCTGGGCGAGCACGTCATCGGGATGGGCTTTGACGAAGATATCTAAGAGCTATCCCATCGTGGTGGCTGCCATGCTTCAAGTCGCTTCTTGCGGGTTACATATCAACGGAGCAGTGGCCGCCCGAGTTGGCAGAAAGATACCGACGCTTCCTGGACTTCACGATTTCGAGCACTACACTTTGCGTTGGTGGACTGCGAGGCGTCTGGACAAAGGAGAGTCAGGAGTGGAGTCCATGTGTTACGGTAAAGGATCTGCAGCAGAACATCTTAGCCTTCGATACATCTTCGGCGAGAAGGAATGGGCTTCGTGCTATTTCATGCAGTTCCTGACTGTGGAGCCTGATGTTTTGGATGTTTTGCAAGGCCAGGCCCCGCAGATACCACGCGCGGGTGGACCGCACCTACCAGGAGTCGACGCATGGATGCGCGAACATCGAGAGATACGGAAAAGGGCCCGTTCGGAAGGGTCGCAAGGCTCGGAGAACCCAGCAGAACATCTAGCAAGAAGGTTGGAAGACGGAACCGCCAGATAGACCAGAGTCACCTCCCGGGCTGCCAACGCCAGCGGGACCTACTCAAGCAGCAGACGATGGCGTCAGCACACAAGCCAGCGGTAGCACGGTTCCAGCGGAGGCAGCGTCGTCATCAGAAGAGTTGCACAGCCTGGAGGCCTTCCGGGCAATACCGAAGGAGGACTCGGACTTGACGAGGGACGTGGACGAGAACGACTTCATGGACATGATTGGTTACTTCGCGGAAGAGCCAGACATGTCCGTCCTCGAGCGGAACGAGATCATCCAGGACTACGACGTGATAGAGGCCTGGAACACGCAGAGCACCACACACGCGAAGGCGACCGACGACATAGCGGAGAACCACAACCGGAGAAGGTCTTCCAGATAGGGTTCGCAACGAGAGCCTGGAAGATGCTAAACGAGCCGACCATCAACGGAGACCCTGCGCACGTGGACGATGTGGCTGCGTTGAGTTTTTACGAGGATGGATCCGCCAAGGCCGTGATAGAGAGAGATGACAACCTGTTGACGCCTGCCGAGAAGATCGAACACCGAGAAGCAGTTCGAGCGGCACGGCTTAAGGAGTTACGGCACTGGGCAGGGTTCAAGGCCATGTCGAGGCGACCTCGCAAGCAAGCCAGGAACCTCATCGACGCGAAGTGGGTCGATACATGGAAATGGGTACAAGCAGCAGACGGAACTATGACCAGGATCATACGATGCAGACTTACGGTACGTGGATTCAAAGACAGACACCAGGATGAGGTGAAGACGTTCACCGCGACCAGCACGAGATGGGGACAGACAATGGTGAAAAGTCTTGCGGCGCAGCATCGTTGGAAGCTATGTAGCGCGGACATCTCGTCGGCTTTCCTGCAGGGAATGACTTTCAGGAGGTCGCGAAGCTGCTCAACGAACCGATTAGAGATATTTGCTTTGAGCTGCCGAAGGGCACAGCCGAGCTACTATGTGAAGTGGAAGGCTTCGTGGGTTTCAACTCGATTTGGGAGGTCTTGCATATGGAGAGAGGAGGATTTGGTCTCAATGACGCCCCGAGGTTATTTGGATTTCGACGTGATCAAGTTTTGTTGTCGAGTGGGCTTGGACCGACACATGCAGACCCCCAGCTCTGGCTGAAGCACATCCAGGAGGTTTTGGTAATGGTTGTCTCTACACATCTAGACGATTTGAAGTATGCGGAGACCGACAAGGCGACCGGCGAAATGATTGCATCACTGGAGGCAGTTTTCGGCAAGATGACTATGAGTGAGGGCAATTTTGTACGCTGTGGCCTGCGCCACAGACAGCTGGAGGAGATGAACATTGAGGTTGACCATTCTGAGTATATCAAGAATTTGAATTGTATCGACGAGAAAGAACTACAAGGTCGGGGAGACGACGAAGAGCCACCGGAGAAGCACGCGAAGCTCTACCCATCTTTGCTTGGAGCTATCGCGTGGTGTATTATGACGAGGATCGACATATGTATCTACGTCGCAGCACTCCAACGACACGGTAAGGCACCGAAGGTTGGACATCTTAGGAAGATGGACGTGCAGCTCAAGTATCTGAAGGAGAATCCTCTGGTTTTGACGGCACAGAGGTTGACTCCCCCTGTGAAGCTGATGTCCGTTAGAGATGCGGCCTTTCGGAGAGAACCTGATGACGCGGGTTTGGCTATGCGTGGAGCTGTTTATTTATTGATCGAGACGAAGCAGGAGCTTGGAGGCAGATGCAATGTTTTGGAGTATTATTCACGGAAACAAGCTCATGTGGTGCGATCCACTTGGGGAGCAGAGTTATGTCAGCTATCAGGTTGCTGTGATTATTTATTGCTGCTGGCCGGTTTCCTGACGGAGGTTCAGACTGGAGAATTGACGGCCAGGCAATTGCGAGATATGGTTGGTGGAAGCGAAGCCAGTATTAAGCCAGCAATTGA